GCATATGCGGGCTTGCACGACACCCTGAAAAGTAGACTCGCGTTAGAGAGGGCAGGGTGTGGTGCTTGAGGTTGAGGACACTCACGGCAGCTCCGGTCCCAAAAGTATTGTAGCAGGGACTGGTTTGGTCGGGAGTAAGGAAAGGAAGGGTCCGAGATGCCAAGATCTGATCTGTTGGCATCACAGCTCATATCCTCGCATCTGAACAAGAGATCAGCGTTGTAATGGAGACGGGAGAGAAGCTATTGCAACCGACATGAGAACAGTGTTCTTGCCTCTGAGACCCCATGCTGGATTGAGCACTATTCCAGAACGAAGCGTCGTTGGTTGAACGTCCAATGTAGCATTGGCCACGGTAGGGAGGGAGGATCCAAGCAGATCCCTACTTGCCCGTCCCGAACAGCTTATCGAACGCGTCGATGCCCTGAGTTCCATCTGAAGATGCATTGTAGCCACCACCAAGAATATCATTGACATACGAGATGTTGGTACCAGCGTATAGTACAAGAAGATTCAATAGAAGAGCAGAGCCCAGTCGCGAAGCCCAACCACAACAGGAGGCGAAAGGAAAGCACATTCGGTGAGAACATGACGTTTGGGGCCTTTGCACTCACTTGCAGAAACGATGCAGGAATGCCTGAATACGAACGGCAGCCAAGATTGCGTGCTCGATGAAGCTCATCGCTTACGCCTGTTCTCGCGTGAGCCCAGGAACCCGGAAGCACAAAAGATGGCACGTTCGTGCAGGACGCCAAACCTCTTTTGCAGCTGCGTTGAGTTATACGGAGATGTGTGCATCGGTAGCCGGAGAGCCAGAGTTACAAGCTCGTGAGAGAAAGCGCGGCGCGAAGAGCGTGTTCAGAAGACTTGGAATTGGCACACGAGATAGAACATCGATAGAGTAGCATCGCAGAGTACTTAGAGAACTATCACAGCGTAAGTAATCGTAAGAGAGTATTGCGGGGTAAAAGACCCAGGGCCAAAGTCGATCAGTGAAATGGCATACCTTACTCCGTATAACTCATAAGCTTACAGAATATCTCAGCGTATAAGATCTTACCATTTCTAAGCTTGTTGTTCTTTCAGGCGGTCTCGACAGTGCGCGGACTGGTCACTTTATCCCTGCTCACCTAGCTCACTCATTAAAGCACAGTTCTCATGACCAGTCCTGCACCATTAGACATGGGAACGCGCAATGGAAAGGATGAGTTGTGATCTTCGAAGCGAGACATTTGTGTATGTGGACCCAAGGAGCAATACCAACAGCTTTCATAGCCACCCATACATTTTCAGTCCAACCCCTGCCTGCGCTGCTGGCGCAGAGAATAGCGTCAATTAAGAAAATATCCAGGTTTCTGAGATATCTATCGCTCCGTCGACCGATTCTGATCTACCCCTCTGCCTCCCAGGAAACATCCCGAATGACCAAAACTGGATCACACATGCGCTTGGACGATTCATAGCCTGTCAATTCGTCGTGTGCTTCCGGTCCGGTGCTAAGCCGACTGCCTCTGATGAAGGTTCGCATGCCGGACATCGTGGCGGAGGGAATGGAAGGCAGGTCCTCTAGTTTATGAAATCCAGATGATGCCTTGTGTCGTCAGAGCTTTGCAACAGTCGAGGAATACCATGGTCTAGCTTTCCTTTCCCTGGCTTCTAATCCTTGCGAGGCAAAGACTGAGCGAAAGGCAGTGAGTGAAACCATTATCACGGCCACGGACCCTTCAACTTGCAGCCAAAAGAAACGCCACGAGTACGCATGATAGAAGAGATTGAACCCTATGATCCTGATGCAAGCAATTATGATCATGAAGATGCTGACGCTGAGGAAGACACTAATGCCTAGCTTCTGACCAGACCGCATTCTCACACACCAAAGGACGCGCACAGGGATACTAACGACTGCTAACAATCAGCAAGGGTATCCTTATATTTCTGGAAGCTTATGTATTCGAACTCAGATTATTAGTCGCCAGATCCAGGGCCGTAGCAGTGATGGCGATAGCAGACGTCCTTGTGATTCCCGAGCCATAAGTGCACTCCACTAAATGACATACAACTTTAGCTCCAAGCAGCTAATTCACACTTCGGCTGGCTCCACTTGCTGGCTATGTAGTCTGTGCGGGGGACACTCCATAAAAGAAAAGCATACACAGAACGTACAAGCCACGATATTCATCACACCAACGACTTTCCAATGTAGCATGAGGCTCTGAATCCGATCTACAATTTGGCGGAAGAAGCACAAGAATGAGAATTAGACGGAAAAAATGGCGGTCCAAATGAGGGCCTCATGAGTAAAACGTAGGACTTGATACACGTGGACCTCAGCATCGGTCATGATTCTAGATAGTTGTATTTGGGACACTTCCACAAGGCTGAGCCCCCCACTTGCTATTTCCTGAATAAAGTATAATAGGACGATTTCTTTGTAGAGAACTGGCACTGCTGCAGTCAAAGCTGCGCACGCGATCAACAAGAAAGCGTTGTCCAGAAATACTCGTCGGTGATAGTGAATCCGGAGAGTTATTCTCATTGCGGCTGCTAAGATCGCGGTGCCGTATAGAATTCCGACCCCGATCTGGTTTGATCAGCCTCAACCGTGACGATTCTACAAGAGATAAAGATGGCCTTGAATGCGGATTCAGGGATCCTGCCTTCGCTGTCTGCCATGCTCGCGGGAAAAGGGTTGCAAGGTTTTGAAAAAATAATTGAAAACGAGAGAATATACCATACCAAATTCTCGTGGCACTGGACTTCGCGGCATCGCGATCAATCTGCAGCCACTGCGTCGCCTGCATAATGTTGAAACGCTAAGCCCCTAATCCTTCGACCGGCGATCCCATCAAACATGTCAACCGCTCGGCTCCTTTCGCCAGTCTCATCGCAACCATCACTTCCACGAGTTCCATGGTTCGTAGTTGTTTCACACCCTCCTACTGTTCTATCATTTTCATGACAACATATATGTTCCCAAGATGTTAAGAAACAGGAGATAAGTTGTTGTGATTATCCGGGATAGACACGAGACCTCGGTTCGATTATTGCATACTATCCACATAATCGTAGCTGGGGTGTGGTGGGGGAGAGCTTGCCAAGTCACACCCCGGGGAGGGGAGTTGAATAATCAATGAAACCCTACACGCATCATGCATGCAAGGCAACGGCTGTGATACCAAAGGCGCAACTGACTAGGCATTCTGGACAAGGCTGAGAGAAAGTGCACAACAAGGCTGAACTCATTCATCCATTCATGCAGTACCAAGTTTTCGGGTGCTTGAGAAAACCAAGCAGACTCGGTCGAGTCTTTGGTTGCCAGAGAGATCAAATCATTCCACCTGTTGTTCTGTGGTTCAACTGTGGTCCGAAGTCTCGTCAAGAGCATATTCTGTCACAGACTTGCCAAGGCACTAGCATTAGCGCGTGCTTGGCATCGGCTGTCGCTCTATCTTGCAGTTGCGGGGATCGTTTTCAAGACTTGAACGCTCGCGAGATATAGTATGGCGGAGTTGTATCCTTGCCAAAGCGAAATTCTTGGACAGCAAAGTGCATGTCAACTTAGATGATACGGACATCCGAGGGCTGGGAGACACTTGAGCTCAATGGCCGACAGATCGAGAAAAGACACTTTGAGCGTGGGTATCGCAGGCAGTGGCGATGAGGAGGAATACGACTTTGAGGGAGAAACAATGGTTACTCGGATGAGCATCAAGCTCACGCAAAAGCTTCGATAGGACGAGTCGACTGATGTCATCAAGTAGTCTTGAGAAATTCGACGATGCTAAATTCCATCATGGTCTCCGAGCCTCACTTTATTTCCCCTTCTTTCTGCCCTTCGACGACTATCTAGCTGCTTCATCGAACTCTGTAAGGCGATGTCTAGGGATATTAGGAAAATGGCAAGGAACAGGTAAGGCGCCTGCAAACATAGGCCGGTTCAAGTATCTACTACATACTAAAAGCCCGGTGTGAATCCTAACTCCACCATAGCACACTGCTTCATGGACTCGTACTTAGGAATGTTCTGGCCTCGTCGTTCGTATTCCGTGCCTTTAGGATACATAATCATGTATTTATGCTTTCTTTTACGTTGCACCATAGCTGTGCGGCTGTGCCGTGTCAACTGCAGCTCGGAAGCCGTCACCGACATCCAAAATGTATAGATGAAACAAATCCAAATCCGTCACTTTTTCTCGAGTACTCACAGTCACTGGTATAAGCATGTCACTCCGTGTATTTCTCGCAAGTTGAGTGACTTGTCTTGTTCCATTCGTTCTTTTTAAGAAGGATATAATGATAATAGAATTCAGGATAAATATTTAAAATATGTTACAATCGTTTTTCTTCCTCCCTATCATTTCCTTCCTCGTCACCGTCTCTCCAGTCCAAGCGCACTTGAGAGGTTCCACTCGATTCACAGAGTTCTTCCCACTTCTCCGCCCCAAACTCACAAACATCTCCACAAACACCTGCGCATCATCCCTGAGCTTCTATCTCGAGACCCAAGATCGCCTAGCATGCGACGCCCACACCAATTGCATCCTGAGCAACATGGTCCAGCTCGATCAAATCGACATGACCAACGCCGGCATCTTGCTAGGCCTGTTGCCAATCTTCGTCGCGACCTTCGGTCCCACGATTGCCGAAATCGCGCTGCTGTCCTCTCATCGTCCGTTGCTGAGCTTCCTCTTGAGTGTGGGCGTTCCGGCAATCTTCATCATCCGGCCGATGGCCTATGCGGATCCGCTGGAGCTGTTGACGCCTATCAGGGGGGAATTTACGATCCCGCGCTTCACTAGCAAGCGGCTTGCCTTCTGCTTAGCGAGGCGGAGTATTTGATCGTTTCTCTTGCGATTGTGAATATTCTCTGGGTCTCATACAAGCTCCAACTTCGGAACGTATTGGCTTGGAAATGCCTTCCTTTCATGCCTGTCGTATGGGCGCTTCTGCCCTGTATCATTCATCTACTTGCCGCATGGACGTTCAATCACTCGGGGGTCATGCGGCGCGTCAAGTTGGAGCATCAGACAGATAGCTTGGGACGGCGCGACTCGTTAGCGACTCGATTCCTTACGTGGACGCGAACAGAGTTCATCCTTTGCGCTAACCAGGAAGACGAGACGCTGCAAGATACGTCACCGGAGGTCTTGACCGTGACGTTGAACTGGCTCGCTACAGTGATGGGCTCTATACACGTCATCCTCGGCATCGTGGTATTTGCAGGGCTATTGTTCATCAGCCTCCTAGACGCCTCTATCGTAGCTGTTCGATACATGGTCTCCATCCTCGTTTGCAGACTCGTTCTGAAATTCGAAATCTCCGGCGCGAGGGGCACGACGAAGTTGGAAAAGAGAGAAGATGTGTTTCCGGGGTTGGAATTGCAGCGGAGGAAACCATGGGCGGGAACTACGACGTCGTTCGATAGCCAGAAGATGCCGATCGCGCGCATGTATGCCGCCAGAAGGGTTGACAGGGATGAGGCTAGTCAGAAGATGCCGATTGCGAGGGTCTATGCGGCGAGGAGGGTTGATAGTGACGAGACTTATTGGTCTCCGTAGTGGATAAACAAGTTTCAAATGACGGTCCACAGAGATGATGTTTTCATTATGGTACAACGGACTTACTTTTGCAGCTGTCGCAATTTCGCTTTGCGATAATGTCTATCTGACGGTGAGCCAGCCATCAAGTACATCTTGGTCGGAATCGAAGCCCTCGGAGACCTGTTCCATCGACTGGAAGACATCACGGGAAGCTCTATGCAGCGACAGCCTCGCGGGATTCTCCGTGGGAACATTCTGAACCGAAACGAAGGGGTAGCTTTGCTCTGCGAAGCGATTTCAGTATATGAGAAAGCGCGGATGCTTTGTGCGTCGATAAAACAACAAGGAAATATCGCATTAGGCGCTGTGTACATGTTTGAAGACGGGCCAAGACAGCGGGTCCGGAACGAAAGCTTTGCCGCTTCTGTAGCGAGGACTGACCTACAAGAGAGTGTTGAGCGGTTGAGCGGGGACCTCCCAACATTTCGGAGCTTGGCCTTTTGTATAGGAAGCGTTGTCATCGACGGGAACAGCTCGTCTGGTGGCCAATTTATAGACGCAGGCGCAGCCCTTTCACGGCATCTCATGCCAAAATTGAGAGCCGCAAGAAGCTTGGGGCTGGGGATTCGTCTCCCTCCAGTCGCTGTCGGGTCATATACTGACGGATGTGAGGACACTGCCGGCCACATCGACTTCTAAGCGTGCTGCGCCGATGAGGGCGTCTGAAACGACGTTCATGAAGAGTAGGCGGTCACTGTCGCTCGCTTTGAAGGATTTGTTGAGATCAGCTGCTACACGCACCAATGACACACTCAGTTGCGATAGAAAACTTTAGAGATGTTGTGAGGAGAAGGATCATTGGAACTTGTGCAACGAAAGGTGTGCAGCCAGATCAATCCCGGCAGTGAGGGTTTCAGCTGTGGTACCCAACGCGTACTACCTACCAAAACTCCTTAATACCCAGATTCGTCCGGTGCAGACTGCCATCGAGGGATGCCAGGGTTTTCCGTACTGCGAGGGGTGTATCTTTCGGAGAATGTAGGGACACCAACCCGGATCTTGCATGAAGGTTGACTCACAGTGAGACATTTGGCCTCAGGGATCATTCCCCCCTCCTTCTTTCGATTTTGGCCACTTTTTCTTCCCATCTACCACCACCACCACTAGAGCCACTTTTGTTAATATCACAAAATCCTGAATGGCGCTCATTACAAGCAGTGTCCAGTGCCTCCCGATGGCATCAGGCTACGCCCATAGCCTGCCCCTTAAGCTTGGGCTGACTCTGTGGTCCGGCTGCCAGCGCGTAACATCCTTCCGAAGTACCTGGACTGCTCTTTCCGGACTTTCAAACCCACCGCATTCATGGAATCAACAGAACGGCTATGCTCAAAGTCTAGGGCGTCCACGTCATTTCCATTGCAACGCACAGCTATTGATGGCCGCCAAGACTACTCCCCCGTTGCCCCAGATCCTGCTTCGCGGAATTCGAAGATTGCACTCTGAAGTATCGGGTAAAGATCCCGAAAACTTCACACAACGCCCCCGGGTGATTGCTGGCGACAAATTTAGCGCGCTTGTGTGGTCTTCCTCCCCAATGCCGAACAATATCCAGATCATCCTCGACGGAAAAACGGCCACTACTTCGGGCAGTTCTAATGAGCGCGCGACCAAAGCAGACTCTACCAGCCCAAATACGCCTTCACATAATTCGGCAGAATCCGCTTCTTCTAACCAGTCAAGCTCGAATAAAGATAATTCCTCCACCGACCATTCTCACGGTTTCTTCAACTTTTTGCTGCAAGCGTGCGTGATAAGTATTCTCGTAATATGCATCTACGAGAAAGGCCGGAAACGTGGCGCTCAGGATTTGACGGCTCAACTTCCGGACGGCAAGATCTTTACCGATAGAGAGGGTTTGCGGAAAGAGGAAGAGGAGCTGAAACAGACCCTGGAGACATTCATGGTATTCCAACCTTGCGGAAAGTGTGATGGTGCGTTCAACGTGCACCACGACATTCTACGAAACAAGAGAAAGGAGCTGGCGGAGAAGGTTGAGGGGTTGGACAAGAAAGAGTTGGAACACGTCAGACAGCGCGCAATGGTGCTCGAGGGAAAGTTGAAGAGGCAAAAAGCGTCGATCGAGATGGACAGAGCTCGAGAAAGTCCACGTGAGGCCGTCACAGCGGGGATCTTACCAGACGAGACATATACTGAGACAGTTGATGGCCTTTACTACGAAACTCCAAGCTGCAGCGGGGAAAAAGCCGATCCGCCCATGGAACAGGCAGAAATGTTCCCATCAGCCAATCTCGTAGCACAGGTCCCCAGCCAGGGACCTGAGATGAATGAGACGCCTAGGACTGTGCGGCATCGGGAGAATTCCATGGCCCACACTAAGCCAGATACAAGAACTACCGGACCGCCAAGGATGAAGACAGGATCAAGTCCAGCATCTCACGTGGTTCTCAAGAGTCTATCTGCCGACTACGATGCCGCAAGTGAGGAGATGGGGCAGATCAAGCGGGCGAAAGAAGCCCTAGAGTCTCGTGAGAGAGAGTTGGAGGCCCAGGACAAAGACCGGAAGGAGCGTGTTCAGGAGCTCACTGCACCGAAGTCTGATCAGATGTCGTCTATTGCTTCGGGCATGCTCCTTGGATCTGCGCTGGCCTTTGGAGTCACGATGATGATGTCCGTAGTTGAAGCTTGAATGGGATGAAGGGCTGATGCACGTCTTGTCGTTGTGTATTATAGATAGCTCGTGTTCGGCGCGTTGGATCCATCGCCTCTCAAATTCATGTTTGACAATTCTGAAAGTCGTCAACCTGCTTTTCAATGGTCTTAGTACCGTAAGCCATTCAATGTCACTTACACAAGCAGCTTCAGGCTTCAGTATAGGCTTCCATCATGACGGGAAGATCGACACTGCATGAGAGTGACCTCGCATGCCTTTCTTTTAGGCCACAGACAAGTTTGGAGCAAGATCGGAGGCGTACTCGAGCAAATCACGACCACTAGAGATCCAGAATCGAGCGCCCGAGTCCTGGTACCGCGGTCAGCTCTCCAGGAAGTAAATTAAACCATGCATTGAAGGCTGATTTCAGAGATCGCCGGGAGTTTGATGTTTGAAAGCACGACTTGCACGTCATCGAACCATCCTTCTATGCAGTCATACTTCCGATGCAGCCAAAGTACGCGCGGGTGGGCGTCCAAAGAAAGCGACGCCGGCACGGGAATCGTACTAGTCCGTATGAATATCGGGGCTAGGTATTTGACGTGGAAGAATTTCCGTAATCAAATAGCACTTTACATAGGGGCAATAAGATATTCTTCGATGTTTCGACTCCAGGGACCTGGACATCTTGTCGTTGCTGACCTTGTAGCATTCTTGAATGGTTGTCTTGAGGCCAACAGACGATTCCATTATCCCCTGTTAAAGTCTCAAATGGACCAAAAAAAGCTTCTTGGACGGGGCATGCCCCAACCACTATTAATCCCGGACAGGAATACCACACTTGTGGTTCAGCCTTCTGTTGTAAAGCATCGTGAGGGTTCGGAAATGCATATGGAAGAGCAAAATGTTACAGTGCAAATGCCTTTTTGCATGGAGTCAACAGAGTCCCTTTGCCCTCCGGCCAGGTCCTGCGGAGAACCTCTAGAAGGCTCTTGGATTGAGGATGGCTTCAATCACTCCTGGTGCCCATAGACAGACATCCCGTGCTTGTGGTGACTGGATGACTTGTCATGAACGCAAAATATCAAAGTGTCATCAATCAATATTGCCTTGCCTTGATCCTCTGTCCGTCGGTGTGCCCAACCATCTTCATGCACATTGACAGTAAATTCAAATGCCTTAGCCTGGCTGCAAAGCTCAGATGATACGAGTATGGGGTCCTTTGCTATGGCGGATCGATTCCGTCTCAACGCGATGACCACAGTGCACGGGAATGGAAATGCTGTCAACATCCACAAGCCCGTCACCTTCCGTGGTTTACGGTCCTCTCTTGACCGATGACAACGAAGCACCTTGGCCTTTATACAGCTTGGAATCACAATCCTCATCTCAAGACAGCTCGATTCTCCTATTTTCGCCTCCGCTGGCGGTTCAGCCTATGCCGCCAGTGTCCTTCTAAGGACCTAAGTCTCGGTTCGAAATGGCCGAGCTTTAGCTTGATCTTAGCATTTGGTCAGAACTACCTTACGATATCCTTCTCCATATCGTCGAGCATTCTGATCTCTCAACTCAAATTAACTGGTTATGCACGAGTCGAGCAATCTTCCCCGTCGCGTCCTGCAGGATTTGGGGCTCGCTACACATCCGCAGCTCCGAAATCACAGCCTATGTCTCCATTGTCTCGGGTCAATGGTCCACTGACCGTGCTGATGGTATTGTGCACTTCCTTCTACAAAGTGCTTACCGGCACTGTCACACATGGGACCATGTGCTTGCAAGCGACCGCACTTGTGGAACTTTCATTCATCGACCACATGGGATTGAAAGATATGTCCATCCCAAGCAGCTTACTGACACTCTGCCCGTCTCTCGTGTGAAAGAGCTTGGAATCGATAATCAAGGACTCGATGACCAACACCCTATATGCGACCACTTTGACATGGATCATGTCCTGCCCGCCCTGCTCAAACGTCTACCAATTCTGCAGTCTTTCAGTTACGTTGGACCTCTGTCAGCCAAAGTTCTAGCGGCCATTGTCCAGGTCGATAGCTTGAGGGTATTACAGGTCAGAAATGGCGACGACGTCCTCAAGGGCCCTGCGACTCCTACTCCAATCGTCATCATACCCTGGACAGATATTACCCTTGATTGGAGTGCGTTAGCCAGTTTGAAAGGTCTGCAAGCGCTTGAGATAGGACGTTTGATACGCCGAGAGGCTCGTGGGCTGGCGAAAGGGGTCGCTTCTTTGAACCTTCGAAGGCTTCGTCTCTCATTTTGGGGTTGGGAGTACGCAAATATAAATTCAAGCATAACCATGCGTTCTACCGCTCATACGTCTGCTTTGGTCATGTTCCTTGATACTCTCACGACGCTTGATCTTGGTGGCGGCCAAATATGTCGTGGTCTTCCTTCGACCTTGGAACACTTAGTGCTGATAGACAAGTACCGCACGTGGATACCATATTTACACCAGTTTATTGCGACAGCTATCTTGCCTTGCGAGAACCTGGAAATTCCGAGTACCACAATCAACGTCAGTGGGAGATGCCACGACACCCTGACTAAGATGGGTCTACCGGCGTTCCACAAGATCGTTGGAGTCAGTTCATGGCAGCAACTGTCTTATGATGAAGAGATGGAAATAGTCCATCAGTACTGCAGCCGTCGGGCGAAGTGCTGCAGACCAACCCCTATCCCAAACCACTCCGCAATATCGTCAAAACTCTGGACCGAGTGATCGCAGCTGCAGAAGGACCCGGAAACTATCGAATGAGTATGGAATCCGTCAGGGAGCGCCAGTTTCGGAGCGACGCGATCATCGTCCGGCCCTGCGAGGAAGAGCACGGTCCTTCCGCAGCGGAGCGAGGGCCCCATGCCCAGGATGCAAGCGTGATGGATCTCGCAGCAGATTTCGCAGCACTGTCCCTTGACGAAACATGGTGGGCGCATGTGCTACGGTCCTGGGGCATATGGCTCGAGTGGTGAAGAATCTGCCTGTCCAGAGCCCCTTCAATAGCCCAGGCCAAACCCTCATACATGACCGGATGCGGTCGGGCTTTGGGAGACCACCGATTCGTTTGAACTCCGATGAGAGGGATTTCCGCCCTATGTGTTAAGATTGTGTGGCATGGAACTTGAGTGTCACAAAGCTTGCTGTATAATAGACCCTTCAAAATGCAAGGCACACCTTTCATAGCTGGTTATCATTCTCAGTGCTACATTTATTCGAATGACTCGCACTAGTTCAGCTCGGGTGTCAGTGAGGCTTGGAGTTAGGGTTCCGCCATATGCTTAGCTTCCACACTTTCCCATGGTCCATTCACTGATGTGTGATGAAGTGTGACATGTGAGGACCTGTGCTTTGCCCATTGTCGTTTATGCTCCCGAAACTGCGGATCTCTGCTCATGGTTTCCACCTTTCATTGTATGAAAGCCGGTGACAGACTCCCGGGAATATTTCCAGCCAAGACCCAGTCAATGCCGTGACCAGCACCACATTCTAGCCACATTGCGCACCTGAATCATGCTGTCGAGTATACTTAGTCATGTCCATCATACATGCATCTTTCCAAGCTCCTCTGGCTTGCTCATCTGCATCAAGAAGCAAGTCATCAAAGCACGGATAAGCGCCGCCAAGATCCGTACCTTATCATGAGAGCCACCACATTGCTGACCTGACTCAGACGGTGCCAAAGGATTAGTAGGAGTCTCGACGACTCGTACATCTAATCAATCACTCTCATCCCTTTCCCATGCACCACGGAGCGGGATCGTTTTCCCATGAATGATCAGGCATCAATCATCAATCATCAAGTGATCATCGCAAGACTACTAGTGCCGCCGCAATGGAAAGCCGCAAGGAAGGAAGAACCCCGCGGGCCGAACCCCCTACGATCTCCCGCTCTCCAGCAAATCAGCGGAATTCCAAAGCAGAAGAGATCTGCGCTTGAAACAATGTTCAATGGTGGAAGAGCGAAAGTGTGCGCCAAGATGTGCCTCGTCATGCAAAGCCGTTGGGACTTGAGTTGGGATGGATGAGTGGGAAGAGTTGTCAGGCGGGCAAAGTGTGACGCACGTTAGTGGCGGTGTGGTCATGATGGTGAGACCAATCTCTCGGTAATAGTGGCGCAGAATCATCGCGATCGCAGATGGTTTCTGCCACCCTTATTATCATCATTCTAACTTTCCAAGGGGCAGCCTTTGGCCCAGTAAAAGAAAGGCGGTCACGGGTAGAAGAGTACAGGTAAATATCAATTCATGTCATCCTTCACACTCGCGAGATCCCTGTTACTCCGTTTGGAAGCCTGTTTTCTCCAGGCGGAGAGGCTCGGTGGGTAACAGCTGGGCGCCTCTGCAACAGGATGACATAAGACGAATGGCCGTGGTCAAGGAATATCCAGGCATACAAATCCTTTGTCACGCTGACACTCTGTCTGGGATGATGGATGATGGATGATGGATGATGAATGATGAATGTGATACCGCATTTCTACTATACGGTACCAACATTAATATATGATTGTAACCGCAATGAATAAAGTGGGCAGCCATAAAAATGCCTTGTCATCCGGAGCCGAAGAGTGCGCTAAGGGGAAGTTGACAAGGGGGCCACGTTTTCGAGCGGCGAGCCACGAGGCTTGTTTGGCCTTGCATCGAATTTAGCGGGAAACTAGCGATTGCAATCAATCAGATGCCCGTATTTCAATGCTTTCCATGCCAGTCCACCGCGCTATCCCGTCATTTAGCGGGGTTCTAGATCACGATTTATACCTTTTGAACCTTCCATTATTCTCAAGGGGGGCATTTAGGGCAACTGGGAACACTTCGTCGCCCAAAGCCCAGAGTGAGTACCTTATCAACTGATCATATTTTTCTTCATTATTCTTTTAACGGCGCCGGCATGTCAATTCCGGAGGCGAACACTACATGAAGAGCAAGACGTAGAAGGACGGCAACGTTCCAATAGAATAATTATCATCATAATAATGATAATAATAATGTAGAAGTGTCAAAGAAAAGAATGAGTATGGTGGATGGATCATTAAGAGTAAGTCTGCAATGGCAATAAGAGAAGAGAAAGATCTGACGAGAGCTTCTGTTCAAGTTGATCTTCAGCTGATGATCAGCTTCCTTCTTTTCCTCATCCACTGCCCGGCTGCAAGGGAGTCACTAGCAACTTTTGGCCCATTTTTGACGGGGGTCCGCAAGAAGAACCACACTCCATCTTCACCAAAATCACCCTGCGACCGTGACTATCTACTCCATACTTCTTCTTCCCTTCTTTCATCCATTTTCATAACTCATCTGCCTCTATCTCCCTTCTTCCATTAATTCTTCAATTCCTCTTCCACACACACCTTGTCGGAAAACGGATAATGCCTTTGTAGGGGTGCGGACAGGACAATCAATCCCCGCGAGCTGTGTCACGGGTGCCCACCTATGATCCATACAATATCTCAAATTCAATCAAAGACCATATGAACGAACCCCTGGATTAGGTGGCAGCCAAGCTTCCATCCAGCAACAGCATCGAGCGCGCAAATCCATCCTTGCAGACAGTCACGGCGCCGCCCACCACCCAGACAATGGCGACCTTCAGTCTGTGAGCATCCACAACCAAGACAAGACTTCGAGTCCCACAACAAGCTGGTTAGCACCTGGCTCGTGGCTTTCTCAACCAGTCAAAATACCCTACTGGCCTCTCTCTTCACATCCACGAATTGCGAGCGAGCAAGCCATTACGGACCCTTTCATTCAGACCCACTTCCGCCTCAAGCTCGAAGCTTGATTTTCGCACGCCATTGTAATTATCTCATTCCAGCTCACAAGCTGTTCGCGGCCTCGTGCTCCCACATACATTCCAACCTCACAACAACGCTGTGAGACACAACGTGCGCCCGCGTGTCCAGCATTCATCAACTCTTCGACCTCGAAATTTCGCAATACTATACTCAGTGCTTCAGAGCTGAACGAAATCAAGACCTCAGAATGAGTAAGAATGGTTGCAGCAAGCAATCGGGTGCAATGGCTGACTTGTGCCGTCAGATCCCGACCATGGTCGCAAGATGTCGAATCAAAATTCCACTCGCATCTGGGAGAATGAGTCTTCGGCTTCTCCACCAAACAGTACCCCATCGAGGCCTCCTGCTCAGCTTCCGTCCATCGCTACCTTGACGAATAATTTACCGCCGGGAGCAGACAATCCTGCATCTCCTGCCTTCTCGAACAACCGCTCCTCAGATCAATGGGCCACTCCACCTCAGAGTACCCGTAAGCTCAACCTGTTCCCTGACTAAGACATGACTGACATTCTCGGACAGGGTCTTCGGCATACTCCTCTGGGCCCAATGGCTACTATCACTCCTCCTCGATCAGCTCACCCCATCGAGCCTCCAATTCGAGCCAATTCGGAGCTACATCACATCCATCAGGCTTCTCGGACAATTCACAAGTATCTCCAGGCTTTGCTCCTCCTCCACATAGCTTGGGCCTCCCCACGATCAACCAGCAATACCAAGACTCTTCCCAATATCGAAGCAGCCATGAATTCCCTACCCAGGATTCTCGCCGTAGCAGCCTGGGCAGCCAAGTCAACGGGTTCAACAATTTACACATAAATAGCGTGGCTTCTCCTTCTTATCAAGGCGCCAATCAGTCTCAGTCATCCATTGCCGCTAGTCTTCAGCGAGAACGAGGCATACCGCACACCAATGGTGTTCGTCACTCGGGAACGTCCTCTATCCAGCAACCAATGTCCCCACTCGCACCATACCCTGGAGAGTCGAGACAGGCTTACTCTTCGCGAACAGCTCCTATCATTAGCGCCAACCCTATGAAAGAAGTCTACAATGCTGAGAAGCCTACAGCTGGCCAACCCTACGCCTTTCCTGATCCTGATTTTAGCAATCGGTCCAGTGGCAGCGGTGAAGCCAATGGCTCTGCTATGATGTCCCGTCGAAATAGCGATCATACGTCAATCACAAGCAGCATTGTCACCAGTGATTCACGACTGCCTGTTGGGCAGCATCGGTTGGATGAAGGCAAGTTGAAACTTACTCTTGATGTTATGAACCGTTTACTAATTCCAAGATGCTCCAGATATGCCGGGCACACACCATCACTCCCTCCAGCACAAACAAGTCAGCCAGCTTGCCGGCGAATCTGATTCGCCTGAGGCAACCTCGCCATATAGCCGTACGCCAGCCCTTCGCAACAGCCACAAGATGGCCGAGAGAAAGCGGCGGACGGAAATGAAAACTCTCTTCGATGCCTTACGGGCCCAGATTCCCGCGAGTCATGGAAGCAAATCAAGCAAGTGGGAGATCCTTTCGAAAGGTAAGATCCATGGTTCGACTCAGCCATTGCCATCTGACTGAACCTTTGTGTAGCTTCCGACCACATCCGAAACCTTGAACAGACCGCAAAACAGGGTCGCGATGCGACTATGCAGTTCCAAGCGCTCAGCCACGAGCTGGAAGCCATACGGCGCGAGAATGAGACTCTGCGTGGTGAAAACCATCACTTTTATCAGGAGATACAGCACTATCGCGAGCAAGCTCGACCATCGACCGCTACTGCAATGCATCCTCAACCGTCAATCTATCCTCAGCCTACACCGTCTGTGATGGGAGATCCTTCTCGCTCTTTGCCGCCACTCACAAACGGTATTCCTGCGGCGAATAGCATGCAAGGGGTTCAATATACTGATGAGCGTCGCTGAAGGACGCATGTTCGAGTGTCCTGATTTCTGAAAGCCGCTGGTGCTATGACGTTCAATCGGCATCACGAATCAAGAGGGCAGACCCTCGCCTAAACTCGAAATGTTCTATGACTACGAGCAATAAGCCTCACCACGCTCTACCGATTTACGTTCTCATGGCCTGTATCAAAAGTGTTTTTACCGCCTTTTCACCGACAGGCGCAACCGGAGGGAATTTTCCGCAATTAGCGCAATTCGTCAAGATCTGGAGTATGAGACCCACGGTGGATAATGTTTATTCGCGTCGGCGTTCGCTTTACCTTCAGCAACTCAACTGCGCGTGTACCTTTTACGTGTGGGATACCCATGGCTTGCCAAGATGTCGGCTTTCTCGACTTTTCAAATTCCTTTTTACCATTCTTCGACTAACATCATTTACACGCATTATTCGATTTCACGAGCAACAAGCCGAACGACAAGGATTTCGCCCTTATCTTCACTCCACTCCTCCTAGGATTGGAGACTTCCACCCAGACATGGTGCCTTGATGCTGGATGTATGATTCAGAAGTACGCGAGTCTCTCCTCGGATCGTCTACATGGAGGTTACGTATCGGAGTCTACACGGTAACAAATGGCTCTATCATGAGGTTGCTCGGCCACTACTTTCGCTCTTGCCCTCATGATGTATGTAGATGGTATCAGAACTATAGAAATGCACAGAATTCACAGTATTAGAAAGCAGCTTCTCAAGTCGGATATTGTTGCCTCCGCAGTGTGGGCTTCCAGGAAGCGAGTTCTTTTGAGCAGCAATTGTTCAGTTTGATACTCGGACAGTGGTTCTGTCCCCAGTCCCTTCTTGTTCAATGTCCCTCGGTGGCTCACGGAACGTCTACTCATTTCCAGCGAACTTCCGATTTACAGTGTGCAAAACGCATTGCAAACGGTAAAACCTCGGTGCGTTATTCTCTACGACCTTCTTCTTTGGGCGGGGCCTTGACATTCTACCTCGTCAATCAAACTCAAACACGATGGTTACACCCACCGCCGATGCTGCGTCCAGGCGAAAGATCTATGGAGTAACATCTATAGATAAGTATGAGTATCTTCCCATTGTCGTCCAAACCGCCAATTCACTAATATTCCACGAACAGCTCCTTCAATCTACGTCGTCCTCATCTTCGAAGCCTGAAGCCACCATGACGGAGAGCAAGCAGCGGCCTGAGGCTGTCACTAATGGCCACAAGACTGCCAACAGGATTCTTGCTCCTTCTACAACAGATGGACCCAATGCATGGTCCACTCCCGGATCAGCAGCCTTCGACTTCCGCAGTACGTCTTCGTCCCAACCCATCCCCTCTTCTCACACCCTCCTACCCCAAGCTCCCAATCCAACAAAGCTGACGACCTTGCCAGGTGATACCGTCACATCTCCCACCGCCTCCATGCTCCTCGCCACTCAAAAATGCACCCTACAAGACGATGTCTTCCAAGAAGACCCGACGACCAATTCTTTAGAAGCCTATGTAGCAGACATGACAGGCAAAGAGGCAGGCCTATTCGTCATAAGTGGCACTATGGGGAACCAATTGAGTGTAAGAACGGCGTTGGGAGGGCCGCCACATAGTGTGCTAGCGGATGCGAGGAGTCATGTCTATGGATGGTGAGTCATTCTCAACTGACTCTACGGAGGATTGCAGCATTCTTACTAGTATGGAGAACGTGATGGAGGACAAGGGGGCTGATTTAAAGATTGAAGGGAGGCGGGAGGCATAGCATCGTTATCCGGTGCTCTTGCCATGCCGATCACGCCCGTGAATGAGCATCACCTGACCCTATCCGATATAAAGAAACACGCCGTTACGTCAACCGACACCCATTTCTGCCCCACGCGCCTCATCTCCCTCGAAAATACCCTCGCTGGCACCATCCTCCCCCTCAAAGACTGCCAAGAAATATCCCAATGGGCGCACGCGCAAAACCCGCCTATACACATGCATCTAGATGGGGCCAGATTATGGGAAGCTGTAGCAGCCGGAGCGGGTGGGTTAGAGGAGTATTGTGCGTGCTTTGACAGCGTGACGATGTGCTTTAGCAAAGGCTTGGGCGCCCCGATTGGGTCAATAATCATCGCCAGCAGGCCATTTGTGGAAAGGGCAAGGCATATCCGCAAGGGTCTAGGAGGCGGACTGAGGCAAGCCGGCGTCGTAACAGCCTCTGCGCGCATCGGCGTCGACGACACTTTCCTCGGCAACAAATTGACCGCTACGCATCGACGCGCGCGGGAAATCGCCGATGTGTGGCAGAAGAAAGGCGGGAAGCTGACGCAAGCGACGGAAACGAACATGGTCTGGCTGGATCTCGACGCTGCGGGTGTGAGTAGGGAGGGGTTTGTCGAGGCGGGGGTCAAGGAGGGCGTGAGGTTTTTGGGCGGCAGGGTCGTGGTGCACTATCAGGTGAGCGAGGAAGCGGTGGGGCGGTTGGGGAGGGTGATGGATGCCGTGCTCTCTGCGCCTGCTCAGGAGCCCGAGACCAAAAACGGCGTCAGGGAGGAAGCGAGAGGGGTGATGGCGCCGGAGATGGAGTAAGGGAGGGTAGGGTGGTGTTTGGATGATGTTCTTGGGGAGTGTGGCTTTGGAAATGGGTCGGTCAATTGTATACAAAGTCCTATGCAAAGCGCAAATCGCGGTATGAATACCCTCATATCTACTCCACAGACTCTTTCTTTCTTGCTTTGCCATTGTTCCAACCCGTATCGTCACATTTCCGTTGAGAAAGAACCCCGCAGGTCGCCTTATCCATACAAGTCACAGCACTGGGGGAAGGGGGCACTTGACCCTGGAATTAGCTCCAGACGGATACGTTTCCAGCTCGGTTTGCAAGAAAGTGTGAGGTACGAATCTCACAAACGAGGTCACCACGACGAGAAAGAGGAATAAATAACAAGCTGTATCAGCTACCAACGCACGCACGCTCCGTGCATCTACGCAATTACAGATTTTCGCCCCGAAAGACCAAAAGCACCAGAGAAAAGAAAAACCTTTCGCAACGGCTACCTACCTCAATCCGCGCTCATCCCACGCAATCATTCCGCTCGGCCTCCACCTATTCAATTCCGCTCCTTCTCGCTTTTTATCTACTACCCAAACCCACTTCGTCCGCCTGTCATATACAGAGTCCTGAAGACTGGGAGATGTTTCGAGTCTTGTGCCTACCTAACGACAACAGACTGTTTTGAGGTTTCGTGGTGCCAAACGTCGACGGAGGTTTCTGGGGCACAAGCCGAGATGATTGCCTGTGGAGATGGTTCGCGGTAGTCGCGGTGACAATGCAAGGCTCACATACTGATGGGTTAGACTCGGGATCGTTCGCTTGAGAGGGGTGATATACCCGTGTGATTCATGGCGTGAGTCACCATTTTAAGACGAGTTATACCACGATTCGTGGGAACAGCGGCCTTCGCATTAGCACAAGGTAAATGCGACATGCGCTCACGGTAGCGAGTTTTGACTTTCTTGACACCCGTCTGCGCTCCTTTCAGGATAGCTTGCCCCAGCGATGGGGACGGCTGTAGAGCATCATCTGCGAAGGCAACACCACTCTTTTTGAGCATGTCGCCCATCCCGTTGACGTCCGCAGCGGCTTGCGTAAAGGACCTGGAGACTGGAGATCCAGGTATCACAGCCAACGATTTGCCTCTCGACCACGAGCTTTGTGGAAACGGTCGATTGCCGAGTATTATGGCTTTTCATATGTCGCCGGCGTCGTCAAGGGAAGCAGACGAGATAGCAAAGCATCTATCACGTCAAATACCGAAATTAAGATAGTCAAAGCCATGAGACATCTCCAGTGCTCCGATGCTTTGCAAGGGATCCAAGGCTACTTAGCACATATGGAACACCATGCGAAAGATCTCAGATCCGAGTCTTAAGGGAATAGGTACTCATGCCGAGATGACGAGTGACGTGGATGTGGGAAGACCGGCGGCAATTAGCAAGATTGAGGAAGATCCCCTCACAAATGGTACAGTCGAGGCTTCAGAGGAGAACAGTAACGTCCTGGCAACAGCTGAGCTTCAGAGTACACTCGAAAACCTTCGGGGTTTGGAGAAGGCCTAACTAATCAAGAATGAGTCTCAACGTCTGGATAGCATTGCCGCAGTGGAGACGCTGCTCACCCTTTACCAAGCCGCCAGAGTGCCATCACTCTCAGTCAGCCAAAACCTACAGAAACGCTACATCTGCGTTTCGTTATCCCGGATCTGCACCCTCTCTACGCTTCGCTTTGCCGGCTATGTGGCAACTTCAATCGGTGTGAATTTAAACATGTCACTAACGGCAAATGTGATTCTCACCTGCCAGACCGCTGTCGTCACTGGCGGGCGGTTACATACTGCATTGCGTTTGCTTCCCCGCGGGAAATGTGTCATTGTCTCTTCTCAATATCCGCGTGATGCTAATCTCAGGTACTAGTACCAAGCGGAGGCGGACTCGAAAGAGTGGGTAGACCGGCTCAGAATAATTGCTGCTGACTTCAAGAGAGCTCAGACGTCTTCCGGTTTGTTGCTGCCATTAAGAGTATTTTGAGAGGCTGGACTGCCGATGTGGTATCATGTCCCCACGGGTAGCTAGACATGCTGGTCAATAACGCCGCGCAGACTCTTACTGATCCGATATCGGCTAAGCAGACCATACAGAACAAGGTGAAACGGCAAACGTTACTAGGCGACGCAAATTCTGCAATTGAGAATGGTTGTCAAGCCACAGTAACAGGAGATTAGCAGATGCTTGGTGGCTTCGTTGAGGCCAGTGGAGCGCAAGGTCCTGGGACCGAAGTCGTATACAGTAGCTACACATCGCAAAAGACTGAGAGTTGGTTCATCGACAGCATACCAATGTAGACAGAGATTGATGAGGCTCTCATCCCGCAGCCATCCAACTCCCCATGGGTGCAGTCCCTTAGAAAGACGCCATACGAAGATATCATCTCCGGTCACTCTGTGAACACCTCTGTCCCACTCATTCTGGTCCGCGAGCTCCTTCCTCTGATGGGCCAAAGAGCAGCATCTGTCGATGCGTCGTCCATACCCAGCAAGCCATTAGCTCATACCATCAATGTCTCTTGACACGAAGGCATTTACGAATCTTCAGCCAACAGCGGAGAAAAGGCTGGGCACCATGTTGCCACCAACATGTCCAAAACCGGGTTCAATATGATCGCGGAAACAGAGGCCGCAGCATGCTGGAAGTGCAGACATGTAGCTATGAACACGGTTGACCCAGGGCATATGAGCGTTGCACCGGAGGGGTGTGACAAATGTGATGTCCGATTGTGCTCGAAGATGGCGCTGGAAGGGCGTTGTGGCCTATAGTAATGGCAGTGAGGAGTGATCCGCCCATTTGGGGAAGGTTTCTGAAGCATTTAGGAAAGTGACGCAGGGGGGCAGATCATGTTGGAGATAAGACTATGCTTTCACTGCGGTCATCTCGGTCTATCTTGAAACCTCTACTCAGCCTGTTACATCGTATCGTGGCCAAATCTGGCACGGGCATAGGTAACCTTTCTCGATACGTAAAGCAGGCGAGAAAGTTCAGGTTATGAACTGAAGCCTTGACTACAACGTTCAACAACAGAATTTGGTTCAAAGCGAAATTATATCATAAATAGTTTGTGCATGACTGGTGAGTGCCGGGCGACACTGATAGTAAAAGGCGACACAGAGAAGTGTTGAGTGAATATTCGTTGATATGACGACATGGAGTGTGAACTCAAATCGAGCTTGGTATAAACACACGGATAAATTCTCACCGCAAGCTGCCCTCTTGCCGTCAATGGAGGTGAGATGGTGAGTAATTGCACTTGCATAACACTGTGTTGTTTGCGTGTAAATAAAACCTGCTTACCCGGACTAGAAAATTCCACTCAAGATGAAGAGGCACAATGACCCCACCAACCGAGATCCTGGTGCACGTATCCGGCCCAAGCGGTGGGGCAGACGATGCAAGGTATAGGAAAGAGGCATTAGCATTTCTGCACTTTGACGTTGCCAACACGCATACGCTGCTTAGACAAAGATCACGTACACCAAACGTAGTGGAGCAGACGCGTTCACATGCGGGGACAAGCGACGCCGACAAGGGTCAATCCCAAGGAGTACCGGTAGTCCAGGAAGCCAAGACATCCTCCCGAACAGAGAAAGCTGTCCATAAGTCAAGAGCCCCAGACTGGCCTGATCCACTCCCCTCATGGAGGACTCCAAAATACTCCAGGCCTACCGCTTCTACTCTCCCATGGACAACCACAAAGCAAACCTCGCACCTTCTCATCGAGCGCACTCCTGCCCTGCCTCGTCCTCGAACAGCCCCCACACCGTCCACCCCCTCTCAAGCGCCTCGTCTCCGCCGCTCACAATCAGACAGCTGGCACACACCTCCCAGCGTGATTCCAGATTCTCAACCTACACCCCCTTCCTTAGGACCGCCCGAGATATCCGGCTCTCCCTACCTCAAGCGCCCTTTTGCGTCCAGCTCGCCCTCTCCGACGCGACGTGCTTCGCCGCCAACTGCAAAGCGGCCGCGGCTACAGGGACCTTCTTCGCCGCCGTCTGAAGACCCACCAGTCGAGGCACGACCTCCAGCGACCGCACCCTTCTCCTCGCCTCCAAGCACAAAACGTCCGCGCCTGGAGGTACCTTCTTCTCCGCCCCCCGAGAACCCGGCAGTTGCGGCACGCTCTCCAGCGTTCGCGCCATCCTCGTCGTCACCAAGCGCCGATGACCCTCCGGGCTCTCCTCCACCGCCACACGACACACCGCGGACACTTGAAATACATCCACCCCGCCCCAAGCCCTCGAACAGCGCTTTCGAAACCCATCTCACATACTCCCTCACAAACATCGCTACGAGACTCCCACTGGCAGACTTCTTCCAGCCCGTCAAGTCCACACGGACGCCCAGAGTTCTAGAGCGCGGTCACTGGCTCGTGCCAATCAACCGCTGGGATGGAAAGCTGAAAAAGGATTTCTGGGACTACCTGACCGCATTCGTCGGTCGGGGGCAAGCCGGGTGGGGCACTTGGTGCGTATGGGAAACTCAAGAACCGATCCGCGCCAAAGACAGCGACAAGGAAGATCATACACCGCAGCGCAGGGAGGTCGTGAAGGTTTATTGCTGGGGCGAAGTGGTTGGCGAGATATGGCTGTTGCTGTTTATAGCCAGTACGAGGAACGTCAAGAGGATTGGTGCGCAGTGGGTTGATGCAGGTGGGGTGGCGGTTGTTTTTATGAAAGATGACGAGGGTGGCGGTATCGTGACGAAATTATGATTGATGCAAGCAGGAATAAAACCGGTTTGGGTACGGACGTGGGTTGGGACTTGGATATGGGATTGGATATATGGGAAGGGAACCGGGCTGGGGATTGGAGAGACATGCATGATACCCTTTTGATTTGGATTGCTTGCGAACGTTTAGTTTGATCAGTGGATAGTCAGTGTGAACCTTTTCGATTACTGAAATCCCTAAGCCTTCTCTACCTCTTCCATCGGGTATGAAGCAACATAGTTCTGAAGGTACGTATCTCACACTCATGCATCCAAACAGAAAGAAACTCAGATCTCCCGCCTGCGTGTCAACGATCATGCCAGTCGAGTCGCGCCAGCGTGCTTTCAAACGCCAGTGTCCAATGCTACCCAAATTTGAAGAAAAGGAACGCCCGCCGGCCATTGCGGGGTATGCCGAACTCGCGGTCGAAGAAAGTAAGTAGAAGGAAGGAGCCCGGCGAGGTACAGTGTGCCAAGCCGGGCAAAATGATCAAGGATGCCATATATAGCCTCCGAAAAGGCAGCCAGAAAACAGACCTAGTCTGCAACCTCCCACTTAGCCTGCACCTGTGACACCCATAGGTCCAGGTGTACCTTGCTTGCCCCAGCCTGAGTACTTGTGACTGTGACCGTGACCACCGGATCTGTTGCTCGCTTGACTGTCACTGCTACCTCCTCTGCGGTGATATGGGCTCGTTGGATTATTGAATTCAAACTGTTGTTGCGGCGGCGTGTTATTCGAAGTCGATGGATAGGTTGGTGCCCCCTGGGCTTGACCTTGAACATGCCGTACCGATGACTCCTTCGGCCATGCTGGCGTTTGGTAAGGGTCTGTATCGACATGAGTGATAACGGGAGCGGCGGGCTTGGCATTGTTGGGAGTGTTGTTGTCTTTCGACCGAGATGGAGGCGATTCGGCAGCTTGTTCTGTGATTATAGGGCGGTGTGCAGGTGATCTCCCGATGTCGCCGTAGCGTTTGAGAATTTCTTTGGTAGTTATGTCGGAGCTGTTGTTGAAAAGCGAGGAGTCGTTCAGAATGGATTGAAGGTCTTCGGGGACCTGGCAGCCGAATTAGCAAACAGTACATAGGCAGTGGGATTGTATGTACACACCTCGGACATCTCGTCATTGAATTCGATCAAAGTGTTAATGACCTCGATGGCTAAGAAGCTGTTTTCGTCCTGACCGACGACTGCGGTTTTGTCTTTGAGGATGTTGGGCGTTATAACGGTTGCAAGATTATGAGTGTCCATCTTGCTTCCAGATTCTTCGTCGACTTGTGAGAAGGATGACGCCCAGACAAGGAAGGAGAACAGTATTTCAAGCGTATCCCGGTGACTCTTGGGAAGTAGACAGCAAGTTAGATGGAGCACTCTTTTTCGCTTTGCTTCATCCTCGATTTCTAGGGGCCGTGGGTTAGCAAAAGCGGGCTTACAGCGCGAATAGCTAAGGACCTACTTTGAGACGTGACAAACAGCCGGTAGAGCTTGTAGGTAAGCAGAGGGTCGGGAAGCTCCCGGAGAAACTTTTTGAGTAGAGCAGCCACTTGCACAGGATTTTCCTTCGATAGATCAACCTCGACCTCCTTTTGGTCAAGCTTCTCACTCAGGTCTTTGAGTCCTCTGATGTTGCCGTTCTTGCGGAATACACCCTCGACGGACATGTCCATTTGCCGCATCGCCGAAATCGTATCGTCGACAATGCCAGGGACTCTTAATGCACCAGGACCAACGCCGTAGGTAGATTCCACACCATCCCTTTCCACAAGCACATCCAAAGGAATACCAAAGACGCCCTTCTTCTTGCCTCCTCTTGGTCTGTCGTTCTTCTGGAAAGCCTTGCCAAATTTGCCCCAGAAAGTCGGTTTTCTCGTCTCGATCAAATTGAGCAGATCTTCTAGATTATAATGACCTTCCAGCAATGGTTCCATGGAGAGCACCGCAACGTGACGAACGATGAAGTATTCCAATGCAGAAAGTTCGGAGAAGTACCTCTTCGTTCGCTGAGCGCCTGAGTCACCACCTGGTATGTCGAGATCGTTGCCACCAGAGACACCACGTTGGTGACCGCTATAAAACTTAGGTTGATGTCCGCCATTGCCAATTAGTTGATGCTTGGCGTGCTTATAAGCATTGGGTCGTTGCTCTTTCGCTTGCTCAGCTGCGACTATTCTTGGGATGTCATCCAGTGTCAGTGCGTCTTGATGGCCGAACGTTAGGTTACTGCTTGGCACATCATTGTTAGGATCCCGGTCTTCCACGATATGAAAGGAATGCTGCTTTTGGTCTGAGCCATCTGCTCCGGCCGATCCCGGTCGACGACCCTCTGGTCCATCAAGTATTCGAGAGGTGCGAGCTTTCTTAATATTGGTGGATAACTGTGTATCCATACGCGTAGATCGAAGTCGTTTCATCTCGCCCACCGTCTGCTGGTAGGATGACTGATTGCTCTCGGCTGCTGAGGTCCCGGTTCCACCATACGACTTAGATCGAGAATCTGCCCTGAGCAGGGGTGGATCTATTTGCCCGCTCTCGTTTAGCCGATGACCCTCATTTGAATCATAGGTTGTAAGGTTCGGGTCATCTAGCTTCCGTGTTAGAGCTTGGAAGAAGAAGTAGGGATCGTAACTTACCTGAAGTATGAGGAAGGGTGCCCCCGGATCGAAGCACGGAGAGCAGCCTGGCGAGCGCTACTCGAAGGAGATATACGTATTGCTGGAGCCTTGTAACCGGCTCAAAGCAGGCGATGGCATCCGAGGCCTCCCGCCTTTCTTCAAAACAGCGTCGGCATACGATCTGACCTTCCCGCTCGCTCCACAATGCATCGCTCAAATCCGGATGGCCCACCACTCGTTCACAATAATCGCAGACCAAGTGGTTCTTGTGCCATCTTTGCTGGTCCAACTTGACGCACTCGTCATCGATCGGCTCTTTGCATTTATGACAGATGTCTGACTGTTGATTAGACAAGCCCGCGACGCCAGAGTGAAGGTCAGAAGTCTCGGCCTTTTTAATGGAATTTAGATTCTCTAAATCCGCAAGAAAATGGTGGAGTCCCTCGTTGCTCCGTTGTTCACGTTCGAGCTTCAGTGCACCTTGCAGACTGATACGAATGAGGAGCTTGAGGTAATGGGCTAGTCCTGTGACCAGAGACAAAAGCTCCTGCGTTACGCCCAATTTCTTGACACCAGTTTCCTGAGTCTTTGAGAGAAGTGAAAAGAAGGCCACAATCTTCTTACAAAGCAACTTCGCCTCCCGTCCGTACGAGAGTCCTGACCAGTCAGTAACAAGAAAACGAAGAGGAAGAGCGTAGCTGTAAGACATACCTTTAATTCCTTCCGAGACCATCAAAAAATCTAGTTTGTCAGTAGCTCTGAAGAGAATGTCCACATGCCAGATGAACTTTCTCGCCGTCACAATGCCTTCAACGTAGGACCCGTTGCTGACGTGGAGAAGCATATCAGAAATGCAAGCTGCTGAGGACTCTTCGAAAGCGGAGAGAACGCTCCATATCCTGTAAACTTTCTCTTCCATTTGCTCCTCTTCCTCTCGCACCAGTGTTCGTTTCTCTTCTGTTGCATTTGTTTCCGATAGCACTTGATAATTGCCATCCGCATCTGACGGTGCCAGACGAACATTCCAAAATTTATGTATCATGTAACACTCCGGATGCCAGTGTTGGTTTTGGCCGTTCCGGAAGATCTCCACAAATTGCTTCAATATCGCAGTTCGGCATCCGTTACACCGTTGTGCGAACTGCGTTGAGTAGTGGTAATGACAGTAGACCTTGCCTTCGTGTTCGTAATAGCTGTCCTGGGCACCGAAAACAGTCGGGCAAACTGAGCACGTGAAATGTTCAATGTGATATTTTCGTTCCAAGGCCGTAATGTAGGATCCACGAAGAGCGCCGCCGCAATCAAAGCATAGCAAATCAAGGCGGCGAAAGTAGTCGGTCTCACACAAGGGATATTGACCTTCGCCTTCTTCGTCGTCAACGGGAAAAAACTTCGAGGCTACTACTTGTCCGCAGTCCTAGATGCCGTTGTCAGCATTGAGTTCGCCGGCACATAGTAGATAGAGCATACTCGGCATTTGAAGCACTCTAGATGAAAAGTACCACCAAGAGCTCTCACAAATTGCCCGGTCAAAGGCTCGCCACACTTATGGCAAAGTCTCACCGTATGAGATTTCCCGCCAGATGCCCCGTTAGTTCGTGACCTTTCTCTGACCGGCAAATCTTGTGTCAGGTCCTTACTCCGACTGTGTCGCCCATCGACAGGGGAATGGTTTGAGCTGCCATTGGGGCTTCGTGTATCCACTGGTGCTAGCGGTGGGCCCATGAATCTCTGTTTAGTAGCATCTGCCTGGCCATACCCATTCGCCTGTCCCGCCTGTCGGTATTGGCTGTCTTCCATACTTTGCCCCGGTTGCCGATATCCTCCTCGACTGTTGTATGCACCATCTCCAGGTCGTCTGTCAGTGGACGGCCTCCCCTTCGGCTGAGGGCTCATTGCAGCGACCTCCCTCCCGATCCCGTAATATCCTCCGGCCAGCCCGAGCAGTGTAGGAATGTTGTTATGGCCACCCTTTGTAGGCTCGTCTTATTCCTCCACTCTGACAATACTCTTCGCAAGAATTTGCTCAATGTAGCCCAGCCACGGATCGAAACGCGATCTGCCTCGCACCCTATACTCGACGAGTGCAAGGTCTGGTGCTCAATGTCCCGAGTGTAATAGGATGTCTTTGACGAAAGTTGCGAAGTTCCCTCTGTGGTTGAATCTGTCCGTTGCTAGGCGGTTGTCGTCTAGCGACGTGGAATCATCGAGGCACACCCAAGCTTATGGTGATAGTGGTGGCAAATTAAACCGCTTGCGCAATGTAAAGATACTTCCAAACAGGTGGCAGGATCCTTTCTGGGGCGCAAGAAGATGTCGCTGTGCGATATGCTGAAGCGGTTGATGGAATGTACTGTCGAAGAGAAGCAAAGACGCTGGTTGCTGGACGGATCGTAGGGAACAGCGCGCGAAGACAAATTATTGCGCCTGGCAAATGGGATCTATGGGTTATGGTATGAAGGAGTGGACTGATCGCAATTCTCATGAATTATTGGTGTGTGGAGACCGTCGAGTACAGTTGACTGCTTGAATCGGAGAGCGGCAATAATCCAATTTTAGTTTCATTCATTTGTGGAGAAGCATGGCAATCCAGGAACGAGTACAAGGCGCGTATTGTTACGCCTACGATTTATTGGAGTTCGTGGCAGACTGGTTTACGTGCTCCACGCTCCCATGGAAAATTGCACTCTGATAGAGCTAGGTATGTATTACAAGCAGGATTGCTCCATTATCTGGCTCTCAGTCCCTGCTGGATTTGAGAGCGTAAAGTAAGTAGGTAATTTAAACAGCGCTTGCGTAGGGCTGTATCAGATTTTCTCGCTCAGGGTTCGCTCAGGCATGACACGACTTATCGGCTTGAGCGCTGCCTGGAGCTTGAGCTTCAGCCTTCACTGTCCTTCCAGTCCATACCTTGGACTAACAGTGCATCGCAAGGAACCTCAACGCCCTGTTCTGCTCGCCCGTCGTTGAGGTGCTAGGGCTGTAACCGTTGGGCTGCATGAATCAGCCTTGTCGAATGTTTGTCCGACTGACTTGTCACGCCTCACTTGAAACAACGTTCAACTTCAAGAACCTACGAGCTTTCTGCTGTGCCTGAAAATACGTCTTTTATGAGTAGATGGTCTCTTTAATCACATGCGTCTATGAAGATACCACTCAAGTACACTCTTGCGCATTTCTACCTTTGATCCATTCAAATGTCGAACCAGAGCGTCTACCGAATCATACGCGTGAGGCCTTCATCTCTTCAGATCTCACTTCAAACCTAATATTCTGTTAGGAGCTTACAGACATTCAAAAGAATACGGATCTGTGTATGTTTGTTTGTCGTGGAGAGGTAGCTAGGCACCTTGTCCAATCAACTGACTGTTGCACCAGCGATAGCAGTAGCTTGCCGAGATAGCGATGTTCGAAACGTCAAAGCATTGATCATAGGACCGCCTGAGACTCCATATGAATTTGGGTTCTTTGATGTTGGTGGACGTGTCATCCCTCTCGGTGATGAGCTGCTGACTGTTTGCGCTTCAGTTCAGCGTCAAGTTTCCCGAAGGTTAGTGACGAATCTGCAGATTTGAAAGACTATGGGTGACTAAACTTCACCAGACTATCCTGAAAAGGCGCCCTCTGTCACAGCAAAGACAACCAACGGAGGACGATGTCGATTCAATCCAAACATCTACGCGGGAGGCAAAGTGTGCTTGTACGTTTAGCCCTCAGCCCCCGTTGCGGGTGTAATGAGCTGCTGACATGAGTACAGGTCAATATTAGGGTAATAGAAAAAGATTGATTCGTCAAAGGACCGGCTGATCGTGCGTCCGCAGGACCTGGAGAGGAGAGCGTGGCGAGGAATGGTCGAGCGCGCAAGGCCTGGAATCAATCTTGATCTCCATACAAAGCTTGATGTCATCCAATCCTTACGAGAACGAACCCGGCTTTGAGAATGCCAACGCTGAAGACGACAAGAAAGCCCAAACCCATTACGCAGCCAAGGTACTCAGACTTAATCAGCTCTCCAAAACAGCTGGGGACATCTAACGCTTCCTTAGATACGACACGAATCCCTCAGAATCTCGATTGTACAGCGCCTAGAAGACTACTTGAACATCCATTCGGATGGCGTGGTCGATGAATTTCCAAAATTGGAAGAGTATGGGCAAGTCCGCACGGAGTACGACGATGTAGAGCCACCACCACCTCCCTTTGAGCCCTTCAAGGATCTCTGCAAGCGGCGCTTTCTTTGGTATTATGAATCCTACCTCTTGTCGGTAGAGGAAGCAGAGAAGACAGTCAAAGCTAATCAGAACTTCGTCATCATGCCCTTCGAAGGCGGTGGCAACACCATGCCCGGCAAGTTCAACTACCCTGAGCTCAAAAGAAGGCTTCAACTGATACACACTGTGCTGTTCCGCGAAATCGACTACTGGGCCGAGGAAGGTAGAATGCAAGTACAGAAAGAAACGACCATGGCTTCAATGCTCGAACGTCAGCACCAGCAGCTTGTCGAAACCTATAAAAAGAATGACATGGTCACTCTCGACATTGATTTGGACAACAAGAATCCTTTCGTTTGGCAGCTGACCTACTTTGGCCGACCTATGACGAACCTTGATGGCGGTATGTTCAAAATCCAAATTTCCATCAGCCCTCGATTTCCAGACGAGCAACCACGGGTCATCTTTAAGACGAAGATGTTCCATCACCGAATATCCAAAGACGGCGTGTTATGCTACTTCCCCAAGCGTCAGGACGAGCTCAAGTCACACATTGAGGCAATCATCGAGGCCATTGAGGACACAGAGCCGCCATATGATCCTCGAACGCTGGTCAACCCAGAGGCATCGAAATTGTACTGGGGCTCGGCAGACGACAAGAAGCTATACAGTCGTCAACTGCGCCGAGCGGTTCAGCAAAGCGTGGAGTGAGTGTGGCCTTCTCTCGAATTGAATTATTCTAACTGAGAAATACTGCCAGAGAATAAGGGACCTTTGACCATCATGAAGACCTGCCGATCCACTATTCACTGACATGATCGCCCGAGAAAACCCGGCGCATTGAGAGCAATACCCCAATCGGCGTTGATGAGCATATTTGAGGCGGATAGTCGACGGCGTTCGGCAGCGATCGGGAGAACATGCGTATTGCGATGTGGGATTCGTACAATTGCAGCATCATTCATTAAGGTAGATCTACTTTTCACCGAAGCAACAACCATGATAGAAGACCTCGACTTTAATAAGCGGTACTTTAACTTCTGATGACGCGCGTAGACCGAGTCAGGTGCTTATCAGGCCACAAGCATGATAGAGTAATACTCGTATTGCCTCTCCTTTTTGGCAATGCCAATTTTCACATCCCCGCCGCCAAGAGAAAACAATCTCAGCCTGCATCTTGGTATCGTGAATTGATTGGCTGCCAGTTCCCAATAATGCAGAGTCAGCTTGTAGTGTGCAAAATGAAGAGAACGCTCGCACCCTCCACAAATTATGTATCATCAACGTGTCAACGATATCAATATCCATCACATGATACCTATGCATACCTAATTATCAATCTTCAGGACAACAACATTCTATCCATTCTATCCATTCTATCTTTATTGCCGTCGTTTCAAAGGCCGATTAGATTGTGGGAGACGCTAGAACAGATTTGCTTTACGGAGTAGGTACATTACCTTACCCTCGCCGTAAGATAGCCGGTACGGACGGCGCCTGCAACCTCACCAATTTTCGATTTCCTTAGCTTTGCACCCTGGAGCTCACAGAAACCCTGACACCAATCTCACATCGACTGCAGACTACGTGGCGAAGACGCGAGATAACCATTATCAACAAGCACCCTTCTCATACTGTACTTAGTATTGTCACTTCAAGAAAACCAAAGACAGGCTCCTTTGTCTCACCGCTTCATTTGATCATTTCACGCCTTGGCGCCAACTTCTTTCCGCTACCCGACTTCCAGGGTTGACGTACGCAATCAACTCGCAACATCGCATTCTATCCAAGCTGGAGGCCAGCTTTTCTTCTATCTGCCAATTTATCAACCTGGCTTCCCCCTCTTCCACTCAGGTAACGACCGGAGCCCAACGTCGACGGCGTACGTCATCAACCACAAGACCCCCTCCGCAATTGGACCTACAAGAACAACATCCATCGAGCAGCCGTCTAGGGGCCTCGTCGGGGTTCCCGACGGGTGGCTACGCCCAGCCATTACCTCCCATACCTGGCACACCTTACGGCTCAATGTCCTTATCGCGCTCACCATCACCTAGAAGAGGAGGAGGGTGGTCAAGTCCCGGGCTGACAAGCCCCTATGACAACGTAAGCGGGAATGCCAGTCCTAGGAAGACATATGGCGATACACAGACGAATGGTTCCTCAAGTGGTGATAACGTGACCTGGGCTAAAGCAAAAGCGAGAAGTGAGGAGGTGAAAGGATACCCATCCTTTTCGACCAGGAACAATGGCTTCTTCTCACGACATGCAAGGAAGATATCGACAAGTCTGCCTACGTTCAGGATGACGGGGCGAAGAGACTTTTCGGACAAAGAAAGGCTCGGACGAGGAAGATGGGCACAGATGGGTGGAAGTAGGACTGGCAGGTTTCTCACATATCTTGGAAGGACGGCATGGCGTTTGAGATTACGACTAGGAATATTTCTTGCATTCGTCTTGGCGATCATCTTGTTTTACGTTACTCGTGAGTAATCATTTCATCGGTAGGTGCTTACACATGCTGACATCGCTGACAGCAATGCATCGAGCGTATCGAAGAGCGTCGTTCTTAGGCGGCGGCAGCAAGTTCGTGGTCATACTAGCGGCTAACCAAGGAGGAGGTGTCATGGAATGGAAAGGCGCTCGTGAATGGGCTATTGAAAGAGACAGTGTGAGGAATAAGAAGAAGTATACCAAGAAGTGGGGGTACGATCTCGAGATTGTTGATATGAGCACCAAGAAGAGGTATGCACACGAATGGCGGGAGAGCTGGGAGAAGGTGGATACCATACGGAATTGTATGCGGAAGTATCCCAAGGCTGAATGGTAATTGCTGCGATTTTGCCCTTTGGGAATGTTGACTGACTATGCCCTCAAAAGGTTTTGGTGGCTGGACCTGAACACCTTCATCATGGAACCCTCATATCCACTGCAAAAGCACATCTTCAATGACCTCCTGGGTAACACCTACCGAGACATAAACGTCTACAATCCTCTCAATATCTCACACCCGTTCCAATCTCCCCACCTCGATCTTCCGGCCCGCTCAGCCAACGGTGACGGCCATGCCAACTCTATTGACCTCATTATACCTCAAGACTGTGGAGGATTCAATCTCGGCTCCTTCTTCATTCATCGTAGCGTTTGGACCGATCGTCTCCTCGACATCTGGTGGGACCCCGTCGGCTACGAGCAAAAGCATATGGAATGGGAACACAAAGAACAAGACGCAATGGAGCATCTTTACATCAACCAACCATGGATAAGGCCACATACAGCTTTCATCCCGCAGCGAAAGATCAATAGCTTCCCCATGGGTGCATGCGGCGAGAACGGCGAGGATTCAAGGATACACTATTCAGAGAGAGACCGGGACTTTGTGGTCAACATGGCTGGTTGTGAGTGGGGAAGGGACTGCTGGGGGGAGATGTACAACTACCGCGAATTAAGTAACAAGCTCAACAGGACGCCGTGGGAGAAGTTCAAGGACGGCATTAGCGACCGGGTTAAGACGTTAAGAGGGAAGAAAGAGGAGGGCACTGAGGGCTAACCAGCTTCAGGACAAATCTTATACGGCGTTTGGAGAAGACTATATTATATCCTGGTACCGATGTTCAGATCTTTAGCTGCATCTGTTACGCTGCCGGATTGGGCAAGTCCCATGGGTCGCTCGTTGAGGGCGAGTACCGACGATGCGTCTGGGCGAACTGGGATAACATATCGGGAAGTTCATGTACGCGACAGATCATCTTTAGATACCTGGACTTCTCTTCTAATGTATTTCTCTCCATGGCATCTTCTCTAAGATTAATCTTATTCCATTCTCCCGAGACCTCTGGACACAGCCCATCCCCGTAAAGCCACCACCATCTTTATAATGCTCTACATTCCTCCAGAGAATAGTCAATTTCTACCAAACATCAACTAAAATCACCAAAAATAACCTAAGCGCCGCCCATAATCACATGACTAGGCGTTCGCGTTGACTCACGCTTTGATTGGCGTCCGAACCGCAGGGGTCTGCTGAACTTCATCTTTTCAACTCCTATGATCTATCCCTCCACGCCGTGCAGTCATGACCTTCGCGGCGGCTAGCAATAATAGTACAATGTACACGTTCTGCAGTACCGGAGATAGCATGCGATGCGCATTTGTCCAATAGTGATGCAGGGAGAGCTGGAGCCTGGCGTTAAGGGTCGCTTTCGTGGTCGGTGGACTTGGGATGTGGCCTTTAAGTACGGAAAATGGGTTTGCTAATTGTAGATGAGGCTTTGAGTCATGCTGTTGGACACGTTCATTTTTTTTGCGTCTGACAGCTATTCTCTCTGTTCTACGAGTACTTAGGTGGTCTCAGAGGTTACTACCCCTCGTTTGTTTGTTTTGCATCGAAACTATAGCTACGACATCTTGCAGCTCTCTTTACGACCTTTCTTTCTCGTCTTTATCGTCATTTGATGATTGATGAGTGACTACCTCATGAGTGAATGGTCTTTATATTGTTTAGTGGAAGTATTAACAATAAGAACGGGGTCCGAGCCTCTTCAGCGGATCTATTGATGAGACATTTGTACGCTATAGTGAATGTACACCACCTACCAACGTGTTATTACTACATTCGGTCATGACCGCAGATTCCCAGCCGAATGATGCCTCACCTCAACGCATCGACCTCGCAGCCTCACGAATCCCACGAATGCCATTCTCCTCACCCATGGGCGAAGAAGTCCTCTCTCCTACCTCACCACCACAATCATCTCAAACACCGCCACAAGTTCGGAAAAAGGGACAACAAGCTGTAAACGGGCAAAGCAATACTACACTAAGTAACCAAAGATTCCCAATGGAGAGACCGACGAAGGGCGATGTGGGACGGAAGCAAGAGCGACAGGACAAATCTCGATTGCATGGATTGAACGTTGTTACAAGCTTCTCAAACACGCCGGGTTTCACCCAGAAAGCTGCTGATGGGAACGGAAAACAAGATCAGGGTCTAGGATTAAGGCGACAAGGAACCCAGGAAAGTACGGATAAGACTGGGAACCTTGGTCTTGAACATCAGCGGTCAGGCAGGCCTCTGAAACCTTCCGCCTCAAAGGGCCGCCTGGACGATCTGAAACGCGCGGCGAGCAAAGCATCAACACTTTCGCCATCAGACCGTGCCGTAATGATAGGGATCTCTGTGTCGCCTGAAGACCTGGCAGACCACGATATAAGTAATAATGCTAGTCCGGCAGAGCCCGAACACTTGGGTACTGGGCGATATACCATCAGTAGGCGGCCTTCTGTCACGCCGTCAATCATTGTGACGCCTGCGCAACGCAAACCACCTTGGTCTGATGAGTCGGATGAGCTGATACAACCGCCTCGACGGAGAGCGCGGGCAGCATCAAGCGTGTACTCTCAGGCGCAGCTGAATGGTGTGCGGTTTGTAGATTCGTCTATAGTGCCGCCTATACCGCCGCTACCGCCAGATTTACGGAGACCTAAAGCAGAGTTCAACCGGTCAAGTGGAAGACAATTACCTCCATCATCTTCGAGGATCGTCTCCACAAGTACAATCTTTGACGAGGAGCTCGATTCTGACATTGGAGGGAGACCTAGTATTGGAGAGTCTCAAGTAGGGATATTGACCAAACAGGCCAGCATGGATAGTATTGCCAGTATTGCCACAAGACATCGCTCTAGAGGGTGGTGGGACCATATCGTCACTCCCTTCTGGCCTCGGTCCCCTATGACTTTCAAGGGTTCTTCTCCACCAATACCGACTTTACCAAATGCTCGCCAGGCTACTGAGGCAAAACACGATCGAGACAGGCCCACCTCTCACAATGTCTCCCCTGAGACAGCAGAACATGAGGGTCTGAGAAGTGGTCATACGAGCTGGACAGACATGAGTCTGGATGCTGAATGGGAGAAGAGAGCTCCTGACCTTGACGACCAGCCTCATAAAGAACTACTAGTCTCGGAGCCGCCACGACAATTGCCAGCGACAGATACGCCCATTTCACCCGTCGAACATGAAGGCTTTGGAGCAGCGTCCGAATACTATGAGGCATGTTTGTACGATATGCACAGTCCAGAACCCTACTTTAAGTGCCAGAACCATACCTGCTTGCCGTCACAAGCAGACCCCACCGAGGCAGATGGTGGTCAGAGGAATGCTTCGGCAAGAGCAGCGGATGGAGATGCCGGTCCAAGAGAAGTCCTAGAACGGCTAAATACCGAACCATCACAATCGCTTGCTGTTCAACAAGCGCCTAGGAATCGATTTTCTGCAGCCTTCCGTGAGGCCGTTGCGCCAGAGTCAAGGCCAAAGCCAAGGCCCGTCAGTGAAGAAACCGAGATCGAAGATTTAGACACTACGCCTGATGTCGAAGAAGCCCACGCTGCGCCAGTCGTCCGTGCTCCTGAACCTGTACCGGCTGCTCAATCACTGCTGCCCGACAATGATCGTCAAAACACTAGAGAGATCGAGGAACCTACAGCACTACCACCATCAGAGCCTACTCCCCACCAACCTCCGGCTTATTCGCCGCCCAGACAGGAAAGACCACCCAGGCGATATGTTGCCGTGATGCCTCCTAATCATCAGCCGAATACGTTCGAGCAAACTGGTTTGCCAGCGCCCCCAACATCTGGCGCTCAAAGACAGATGCCTCGGGATACACTACCTATGGCGGAAACGTCCAGAGACAACGCTGAGTCTCAGCTAGCTGGCACCAGGAACATGCGCATTCGCAGTTATGAGAATCCTGAAACAAGCAGGCCTGAGACTACGCTTGCGGACCTCTATCCGCCACCGAGAGATGCTGGTAGGGCTCAGAGAGCCTGGGAGATTCGTGAGAAGGATACCCAAACGCCTCGAGAACACAATTCGAAAGTTCTTGCGGGTTTCGGTAAGTGCTTCGGTCGTGAGAAGAAACCAATGAGCAAGAAGAAGAAATGGACGCTCATTGCGCTAGCCATCGGGCTTTTGTTGATGGTGATTTTGATCATGGTTCTAGCTATGACTTTGACCCGGAAAGGTGGGCCAGGACAGACGGTGCCTGTACAGACAGCCTGGCTCAACATAACAGGGTACCCACCCATACCAACGGGCATATCAACTATAGTCCAACCCAAGCCTGTGTCAGAAATATCTGAGTGTGTCGTCCCGTCAACGATGTGGAGTTGTGATTTGCCAAAAGAGGAACAGCAGTCTTTTTCCACCGGTGCAGCTGACCAGCCAAACTTCAGGGTGGAGATAGTCTTCCAGAACGGAACGAATGGTATAGCGAACGCTTCCAGCGTCAATAGAAGATCGTACGGGAGCAACCATGGGAGATCTTATGGGCATATGGTCAATCCAGTCTCTGCTGGTAGCTTCGTCCGCGATCGATTATTGCAAGCTCGCAACGCCCTCAGCGGAAACTCGGACTCGCCATCTCCCCCACCTCCCAGTCAAGAAGACCAGACGTTCCTCGGCAACACCACAGACAACAATACGGTACCATTCGACGGCGAATACACACCATTCTTCATGAGCTTCTTGTCTTCATCCAAATTACCATCTCGCCTTCTAAAACGCCAAAGCAGCAGCAATACTGACAATGCCGCCGATCCCTTCCCCAACATTACGAACTCAATCCCACCCCCAGATACCAACGCCAATGGTACGGCAGCAGCAGCAGTACTTCTCCCATATCCTTCAGCTCAACCGCTTCGTCTCTACAACCGCGGGCAGTCCACCGAACACTACGGCTTCTATACCTACTTCTCCAAATCCGTCTTCCTCAAGTCCACCGCACCTATCGACGGCATCTCCAACAATACCAGCTCCGTTCCAGATGACGAAGATGGTGGTGCAGAAGAAGAAGCGGCTTCTGTACGCTGCACGTGGGCTCAGACTAGGTTTCTAGTACAGATTTGGACGAATAAAGGCTTTGTAGCTTCGTCCCAGGCCTCAGATACCAATTCCACCGTCTCCTCTAACAACTCAACCAATCTCACGGCTTCCTCCGCCAATGACTTCCAAGCCCCAGGCTCCTTCCCCTATCCTGTCACTATCACCCTAGACCGCCACGGCGGGGATATCGACTCTAAGATGATCTACTGTTATGGTATCGACGACGAAGAGAACCCTATCTCAAACCAGAAGAAGATTGAGCTTGAGGATCGATCCTTTGGAGGCACATTGGTCAACCCAACAACACTAGGACCGTTCGGGAATGTGAATGTGACACTGGCAGATGGCGGCCCTAGTGGGATTGATGGAGGTAGCGGAGGGTGTGAATGCCAGTGGAAGAATTTTGGGTGGGAGTGAGGAAATAAAGGGAGTTTGATGATTTTGACATGAAAACTGCCTCGGCATCATGGCAGTACACTCGAGCGGGCACGTTCATAGCCTCTCACAGTTGTCCAGCCCAAAATATACTCAAAGTCTTCTACGATCGTTGTGATCGCTTTTGGTGCTTAATGGTGCTCATGTTCCTCTCACTCACATGTCTTGGGCCAGCCAAAAACGTCAACTCTAGGTACCACGTCCATAACATCCGCCAATGTGCCTTTCACCGAGCCCCAGAAAAGACATCCATTTCCCACCCGTCCCCGAAGAGGCATCTCATCGACACCGGCAATACGTCGTCTTCCGCCTACGCATGATGCGAGAAAGTCTGCGCCCTCTTCCACTGAGCAGGACGCCAACGTGGACTTGATGGTGGAGTTGGAGCAGCTGACTGCTGGCCTCCCTGAGCTGAACCTGGGATTTTTGGTATCTTGCCGGCTTTGACGCCAAGCTCGACGCTCTTTCAAGGTTGCCGGTTTTGGGTAGGTACACTCACACTTGCGATAAAGCGCTCTTTGCGCACGACATCAGGAAAGACGCTTGATGATGGTTTCGGGGCGGATTTATAGAGAGGAGGAGTGTGTCTGTGGAATTAGATTTTTGCTGTCTCTCCAATGAACGCGATTAGGAAAAACCTTTGCGCCTAGAGGTTTGTCCAAATCATTGGGAAAAGGATACTCGCCCGCAATATAGTTTCGGTGGTTTAAAGTAGTGAATTGCGGTTGTGGCTATGGGACTTAGTCTCCTCGATCGTCAGCCTCTAAGGTACCTAGTCGTGTGAGTCACTGTTACAATATACGTTAGTACGGCAACAAGTACATAAGAAGCCGCATAATGACAGGAGGAGGCATCAAGCCGAAAGGGAAAGAAGAGAAAGAAAAGAAAGAAAACCCGAATCTCCCAGCCCAACATAGAGTAGAGTTACCATTACAGACATCATTCAAGCATCATCCGTCTCATCCAAGCGCAGCACCATGGCCTCCCATCCTCCACCCCCCAGAACCCCACACCGACAGATCCGCGCCTCGTACGACGAAGAGACCATCACGGTCTACCAGGCGTATTCCCAGGCCATCGCAGGCCCCGCGGTCCAAGGGCAGCGCCTCTCCGCCTCCCCGGCATTCTCGCACGCTCGCATGACGTGGATCAAGCCCAGCTGGGCGTGGATGATGTACCGATGCGGTTACTCGTACAAAGACCGAGGCCAAGAGCGCGTCCTGGCGATCCGTATGAAGCACGAGCATTTCATGCGGCTTCTGTCACAGGCTGTCGTGTGCCACGGGCAGACGTTGAGTGCTGAGGAAAGGGGTAAGGGAGTAAGGGTGCAGTGGGATCCGGAGCGTACGCCCAATTTGCATGTGCTGCCGTATCGGAGTATTCAGATTGGGATTGCGGGCAAGGTTAGTAAGGTTTGGGCGGAGGAGTGGATTGTGGGGATTGATGATGTGACTGAGAGGGCTAGGAGATTGAGGGAGGTGGTGGAGAAAGAAGGGGGAGTGAAGTTGGTGGAATTGGTGGAAGGGGGGTTGGTGCCTGAGGAGAGGGTGTATGACGTGCCGGAGGATTTGAGGAAGGTGTTGCAGATGGAGGAGTGATATGAGTGGACTTTTCTTGTTGATGTCACGAAATGGAGATTCCTGATTTGATTTCTAAATCCTGAAAAAGCTTCACTGTCCGACGCTATGAAACCGAAATGGCAAGGAAGTGATGGGTTGAGTGGGTATTAAAGACGTAATTGAACTGTGCAGTGAGAGGTGGCACCTGCAAAGGAAGCGCAGAGGCACCGGCACTTGTCAGCGCCTGGTTCGTGAGAGTATATCTCCTCTGCGTCTAGTCGGACTTTTCGTTGACGTATTTGGTGCTAGCTCCGGAGCCACGGTCGGTGGGTGCATCTGTCTCCTTGTCCGAGAAGTCCCAGCCGTTGAGGTAGCCGGTACCAGCGCTCAAGTATGTAGCAAATCCCAACCATCCCAGATATGGGGCAAGACCCCATGCAGCGACTGGATCGACCTTTGACCAGATGTAGGTTAGGTATCCCGTAACACCCGTCAAGGCGACGATATCCGCTGTAGCTTCGATGGGACGCTTAAGGCGGAAGAAGAGGGGCATCCAGATGAGATTGAGGCCAAGCTGGATGGTGAAGAGTGTTGCTCCTTGCTAAGAAAGGTCAAGTGTTAGCTCGCAGCTCCTCTTGGGATGGCAAAGGGAATCGTACTTTGGTCAATGCAACAACGTTTGGGTTCAGCGATGACATCCCAGTATCCCAAGCTCTGTATGCAGAGTATCCCATGAGCCCGTAAAGAGCCGTCCACATTGGACCGAAGACCTGGGGAGGAGGTCGGTATGGGGGCTGCTTCAACGCCATGTATGTATTCTGGCTTTCCTTGGCTGCAGTGGCATGAGCAAACAATGTAAACCACTAAAAGCATGCAACGTACGACTGACTATGAAGCCGATGCTGGTGCCCAATGCCATTGGTAGTAAGATTGACACCGCTGGTTGAGCAAACACTTCGCCAGGCAGGGTCAGAGAGGGAATGTAGGTCGTCATCTCTGACACATGTAGGGGAGGTTCTCGAATTTGTGATCGGTTTCTGTAGTCCAGTGAGTGTTTTAGTCTCTCATACTGAACATGAAGAAAAGCAAAGGGCTTGAAGAGTGATGGCAATCAGAATGGCTTGAAGAGTGAAGACTGCCAAAGACACTTGAAGAGTAATGGCAACCATAGAAGCCTGGATAAGGAAGAGGTTTCAAGATGCTTCAAGAATGAAGGCAGTCCAGAAGTGCTTGGAGAGTCAAAACACATCACTTACAGTAGGTAGGCAAGCAGTATTTGCGACACCCAACTTTCTCCACTTGACAACGCTCTGTCTTGATACTCAACGGATGTCAGGCAATGAGACACCTTTGTGCAATGTTGTATGCAAGAATATGGAGGTCTATAGAATGTGTATATGTCTTTCGCGTTGTACCTGACCGGCCCCACCTCGGTCAATATTCCCACTGCCAGCTAACCGCATTTGCTCTAGCGAAGTTTATCGGCTTTGTCGCCAAGAAGACGTCCAGCTTCGCAGCCCGCACCTGCCTTCTCTTTCATCAACATCCACCACCTATTCCAACGGGTGCCCTTCGCAAAGCATAGCAAAACGTGAGTAACTTGTCACGTCTACCAATTGCCATATATGGCTGTATCATATCCCCGTCACCTGCACCTCTTTCTCCATCTTCTCGTCGCTCAGAGATAGCATCCTCTTCTGCCCTCTTCTTCCTCCTCCGAGTGCAACACCCTTGGCTTCTCAAGTGGCTTATAGCTGCTGCTGCTGCTGCTTCTTCTCTGATATTTATTTTGATTCTTCGCACCCTTGATTGTTCACTTCTCCATTCATTGAACCTACTCTAACACGAGATCATGTCGGCAAACAGCTTCCTTCCCCACTCTTCACACCTCTATTCCCCAGCAATCACCTGAAATGTGGTGAAGCTTCCCGTGTGAAGCTCTTTTCAATTCATTCAACAACACCATTCACTCCATCATTCACTCTCCGGCGAACCGACTTCTTCAGTCATCGGGTCCTATTTAATCCCATGATCAGACCAAGGACTTGACCTACACAACACACACCACCATACATTAAATCATCCATACTTCATTTCTTCGTACATCGGTCCTCCATACTCTACATACATCCACATTACACTACTCCATCATCATGGATGGGTCTTTCGAAACAGCCTACGCTTCGCCTCCAGTGAAGACAGAGGAAAGATGGGGACGTGAAGACATGATGGGCGGCAGACAAGGCCCTAATGACAATTATCGGGGTCGGAGATCTCCTGGTAAGACTACAGATGCAGAGAACATGAACCCTTTACATTCTTATCATCGTGCTTTATCCTATTCTTCATCCCCTCTCTTTGCAGATAATACCAGTCCTCAAGAAGCGACATTGGTTCTCCAAAAGCGATCTTCTGCTCTCTCTGCAAAGCAATCAGGTTCTTGCATCATGAACGTCACTTATAATTCTTTCTCTGCAGGAATGCAAGATCGTCGCGGAGGAGGGGGGCATCGTGGCGGCCGAGGCCGGTCACGATCCCCTGTAATGATCGATAGGTATCAGCCCGGTGGGTCAGGCGGTCGTCTTCCACGAGACGACTTTTATGATCAATCGCGCGAGCACGCATCGCGCAATCGGGAAGACAATCGTCGTCGCGCCCCCTCGCCAACACCACTAATCGACCGCTACGTACCGGGTCAAATCCCGCAACCAATCGTTCGTGTCAATCCATTACCCAATCCTCTTTCACTGGATTTTCAAGTTGGTTTCAACTGGTTTGCAGAGTGGTGGCGTGTTGAGCAGTCAATCAAGGAAGACAAAGAGAGGCAGAAAGATGGTAGTCGACGACAGTCAGATCGAGGTATCAAGGGCGAACGCGAGTCGAGGGAAGATCGTGAGAAAGAGCGAGGGCAGATACAACTCGCCTACGACGCCTACAAAGAGGAGCTCCAAATCAAGATGGCACGGGCCTTCGTGCAACAGCACAAGAATGAAGAATGGTTCAAAGAGCGCTATCAGCCAGAGATACGGGATCCTTTCAAGCAACGCCTTACTGACTTCCGACGTGGTGCTCTGGGCCAATGGGAATTTGATATCGAAAACGGAGCCTTTGATGAATTTACTCTGGAAGGTATCTACAAAGCTGAGAGCGATGGTCTCGGTGGAGTCGTTGAAAAGGAAGAAGGCGAGACCGTTGCCGCTGCTGAAGTCCTGGGTGTTGGTGATCTAGTCCCCAGCCGAGGTGGAGACATTCGAGACGAGTCGGCTTTGCAGCCAGCTCTCTTAATTAAGACACTTGCTCCGATGGTCAGCCGCGAAAAGATCGAAGAATTCTGCAAGGAGCACCTCGGAGATGAAGGCGGAGGCTTCAAATGGCTCAGCTTGAGCGATCCGAACCCGTTGAAGAAATGCCACCGCATCGGATGGATAATGATACACCCCAACTCCGAACAGGAGGCTCCACCAGAGCGAGGAGATGGGCGTGACGAGGACAATGAAGGCGAGGTGGAAGGCATGGCTGATGAGCCAAAGCCCACTTTGAGCACTGCGGAAAAGGCTCTCGAAGCTATCAACGGCAAAACAATTCACGATGAGCCACGCGGAGATTTCACCTGTCACGTTGGCGTTCACGTGCCAACTAAAGAGCCCCGGAAGAAGGCCTTGTGGGACCTTTTCTCCGCACCTGAACGCATCAATCGAGATCTTGAGCTCGCCAAGCGCTTGGTATCCAAGTTCGATCAGGACTTCGGCTCTGAGGCAGACGGTGTGGCCAAGGTTGAACAGCGCGTCGAAGAACTCGGTAGTAAAGGTTTGCTACAATCCTCGGTTGCTGCGACCGCTAAAAAAGAGAAGAAGAGACAGCAGATACTTGGTATGGATGAAGATGAAATGGAAGACGGGGAAGAGGAGGAGGACGAAGAGGAAGAAGAAGGTTTCATTGACGAAGAGAACGACAGCGAAGAGCTTCTCGTTCAAAAGAAGACCCTCGATCTACTCGTCGAATACCTTCGTCGGGTATTCAACTTCTGTTTCTTCTGTGTCTTCGAAGCAGACTCTGTTCACGAACTCATCCGAAAATGTCCTGGTGGACATCTACGTCGCCCTAGAGCAAGTCTGAGCTCTGCAGCCAAGACTGCTGCGAAAGCGAGCGCTCAAGGACAGCCTTTTCCACTGAAGCGAAACCAGACGGAAGATGGCGTCGAAAACGGGAGCTCACCGGTAGTTGAGAAATTCAATAAGAACTACAAGAATGACCAGCAGTTGTCGAGAGCATTCAATTGGGTCAAAACCTTCGAGGAGAAGATTCTACAAATTCTCGAGCCAGAAAATGTGGACGTCAAGAAGCTCGGTGGGAAGCCACTTGAGGAAGGATTGGATGAAGAGCTAAAGAAATTCGTCAAGCAAGAAGACGAGTCCAAATTTAGATGCAAGGTACCAGAGTGCACTAAGCTCTTCAAAGGCGAAAGTTTTTGGCGCAAGCACGTTGAAAAGCGTCACCTCGAATGGTACGACAGCATCAAGACCGACGTGAGTTCCTTGTTCCTTGTTCCCTTGAGATAACTGCTGATTTGTCTCTCCTAGCTCAACCTTGTTAACACTTACGTCCTGGATCCCTCACACATCGCTCCCTCTCGTTCCGATGCGAACAGCAATGGTCACTTCCCCATGAACAACCATAATATTACTGCCGGCACTCCTCGTGGTTTCAACCTCTCCGCATCCATGCCATTAATGAATGGTTTTCCAGCAAATTTCCCACCGCAGAACTTCACTCCTTTCCCTAACTTTGGCAACCACACTGTTCAAGCGCCAAGCTGGCCAATGAACGCCCCAATGATCCCAACCAGTGACGAGGGACATCAGACGGGTCCGATGCGCCGAGGAGGTGGTCGCTTGGGTACGCGACCAGGACCGTACGATCGTCGGCAACCACCTAGATATGCCAACGATGGCCGCTTAACGCCAATGGCTAGCAACAATCCCATGAATAGACGTGGCGGTTTTGCCGGTGGAGCTGGCAAGTGGGGTGATGGTGGTGCCCAGACTGTGGGGCCACGAGAGGCAGTGCAAGGTAGGACTCTAAAAAAGTACGACGACTTAGATGCAGCGGAGGGTGGTGGAGGTGCTGAGCTCAATTATTGAGCTGCCCGCGTGTTATTCTGAAAGCTCTGAAGCTTGCGCTGGTCTTGCTCCTCGATTGGCTTGATAGAAGCAACTTCAGGTCTATTCACCTTAAAAAAGTTTTGCGGTTGTTGTGTTGAATGGTTAGCAATCTTTCGGCTTTCATGTTGCTTGCTTGCTTGCACGCCAATTGCTGTCTTGTTACTGGGTTCATAGATGGTTGTGGAGCGGCTTCGGTCTCTGAGATCCAGCATGCTGAGGTTTTAGAAGACATTGAGATCAAATACTGAGCGCGACATATTCATTGTGGTTGTGTCACTTTCTGTTCGTCAATCGCGTCGTTCATGCATCTGCATTTCCATCTTCCTTTACATGAGTCCTTGCTTAATTGCGTTTGCCCTATCCAACGTATTTCTAAGCCTGTGTCCGTCTTCTCGTTACTAGTTAGGCCATACGAGCCATACCCTTTTTTAAAGAGATTAAAAAGTCTCCTCCCTTCGACTCGCTTCCATTGAACGGATAAAAGTCCATGGGCTTTGCTTTCACGGAACAATCAGGCAGGGGTGTTTGTCTTTTTCCAAGAGCCTTTGACAGGTGTCTGAAACCTCGCGTACTTTTTAAGCTTTCTCGGCAAGATCTATACAACGAGATTCCTAACTAATCAGGGCAATGAAGGAGAATATCATGATCTGTGTAACACTGGTGTAGTTTTGTTCTCGAGGCGTAAACCCATTGTCATCCTGCAACTCCGAGAGTTGAATCCCTGGCCATCGGTATTCTCGGTATATGCAGGAATTCGCTGGCTTAAGGATAATGCCGCCATGTGTCTCCCTTGGCATACTTGTGTCACCAATCAGCATAACGTCCCCACTTGTGCATTCAGCTTTTCGTGTTCTTCTTCTTCTTCTTCGTTGTTCAGACCATGAACACCATGGCCACAAAGAACATCATTGTAAATGGTGCATCGAGAGGTACGCAAGTCCAGTCCCTTGATATCATCCATTATCTTCCACGTCGTCAAGACCCAGAGATCGAGCTACTAAAACTTCGGCCTTTTTCCACAGGCGTAGGCCATGCAATCGCCACAGATCTACTCTCGCCCGCTCTCTCATGCAACGTCCTCCTCGCTGCCCGCACCGTCAGCCTTCTCGAAGAACTTCAAGCCGCGTACCCCACCCAAGCGACCTAAGTCTCCGGAGACGCATGTTCCCTTACAACTGCAAAAAGCATCGTTTCCAAGGCAATCGGCAAAAAAGGCCGTCTTGAGGGTCTCGTCCTCAACCACGGCGCTCTAGGCCAAGTAGATAACACTTGAGAGACAAACATAGAAGAATGGGAGAGAGCATTTGCCGTGAACGTGACTGGCGCTTTACGGCTGATACAAGCTGCGTTACCCGAATTAAGAAAGAACAATGGCCGCATCATCTTTACATCCTCAGGCGCAGCTGTGGCTGGATATCCCACCCTCGGACCCTATGGCGCTACGAAATCCATCCCCAACCATCTTGCGCTTATTTTGTCAAAGGAAGAGCCAAATGTGACGACTGTAGCTGTCAGGCCGGGAACTGTGAATACAGGTCTGGTGAGGAAGCTGCTGGATGATGAGAGGGTGGTTGAAGACGTAAGGACACTGTGAAGGAAGGCGAAGGATGAGGGGACGATGGTTGAGCTGGGGGAACTGGGAAGGGTAATAGCGAGGCTGGTGTTGGGGGTGGGGGAGGAATTGAGTGGGAAGTTCGTTAGGTGAGGATGTCGGGAGGGATGCTGGTTTGGACGTTTACTGACAGTGTTAGATGGGATGACGAAAGGCTTGCTGAGTTCCGGGATCCGGTGATGCCAAGGGTGAGTGGGTGACTGATATTTATGAGCAATTCAGCCAGCAGCGCTCGTCTGCTACAAGCGATAAGAGAACGTGATGTGAATCCAACAGTTGAATATTGGACGGAGATAGATACCACCACGATCCACTCCTTTTCCAGACTGTTGTATCCTTCCCTCTGTGCCACCGCGAAACCCTCCTCTCAATGGTCGAGTAAGCGTCGTTGCAACTGCGCATCCGTCCGCTAGTGACGCACCTCGCTTTTGCATCTTATTGCGTTCTTGTTGCAAACCAACAAAAGTGGAAAGAGCACCCTCGAATCACCCAGAAGGGGCGTGTCTACAACCCCCTTCCCTCCTCTCCACCCACCATTCTGTGCATCCATCAATCGCACCATGCTTCGAGCGACACGAGTAGAGTACTCGACCGGCCTTCGAAACAGCTCACGCCGAATCATTCGAGCCACATCACATGATTCTCGCAGGTTTGGGGGGTATTGATGTTTGAGCCTCGGTACTTACTCCTGAGAAGAAGCGTTTGACGTCCTCGGTGCCCGACCTAAAGGAGCACGAGCGACAGTGCCGCGAGCGGTTGGAGACGGGCAGTCAGGAGCCCCAGCTCGTTCGTCTATTGCACAATTGAAGTCAGCTAAGTCTTGATACCTTTCTTGCGCTCTCAATCCATCGGATCGAATCCATGTAAACGCAGGTTGTCTACAGATTGAAAGTATGGGTCTGAAGCGTGCTTTATATCAATAAGAAAGAAGACTTCGTCTACTGTAATTGCTCAATGTCGTCTCGCCTATACACCACTTATTTTCTGCTAAAATAGTTGCAGATCTTCGTTTTGATGCACAACCAATGTTTATGGGTTATTAGCTTGTGCAGACTGGCTATATGCTGTCGTCGACTCCTCCCCAACACGTCCTCAACTGCAACGACGGATCCAAACCCAAATCATCTATCGGAACAATACGTTCCACCACCATCACCTCCCTAGGCATTGAAAACCTCGCGCCATGTGTGACAAGGTCTTTTCATTCTCGTAGAACAGCACATTCTCCGTGCACTTTTCCAACACGCCCATTCAAGTCCGTTAGTTCCTTTTTTTAGCAACAAAGATACAGTCCAGCTCTAGGGTGAGCTTCGTCTCGACGGAATAATATATATACCAACCGGGCTGCTGTGGACCTCCAGGATTAAGGCATAGACTTCCTAATACACGAATTGGAATTATATACGCTGGACCTATGGTATTTTGGATCGTTATAGGGTTCGATATCCGCCACACAGTGTATCCGAAATGCTGCTAAGATTAAGTAGCTGGAATTATAGAGATAACACCCTCACGCACACTCAGTTGCAGGTTCACCAGTAGCGCCCTGACCTTCTCGTCCAGCAGCTCACTTAACTCATATTCTCGATTTCCATAACTGTCCTGGTTGCGTGGTTTAATACGAGAAATCTCATCTTCGATTTGCTTCAACAGTTCTTTGCCGTGCTGTGAGGTGATCTCGTAGTTCTCAATATCGAACATAGTGATACAGCACTGTTGCGGACCACAAATCTGGTCTTCTAACATATCAAATGTCAGTACGTAGGAAGTTCTCAGGTGACAGGGGGTGACTTACTTTTTGGGGCTTCTGCAGAGAATTACGTGCGGAATAACGAGCAAAATTGAATACTTAGCTTTAGAAGCGAAGATTACCCGAGCTTAGTCATCACCGTCCGTACCTTAATTTCGCCGCCTTCGGTTCCCGGTAGTAGGCGGAGGACACTAACCTGAATGGGCTTAGCTAGCTTGGCAATGGCTCTCCTCACGGTTATTGCTACCGCCCTGCAGTTTAACTGGTATTAATACACGTCGGTATTGTCACGCCACATCTTTGTTGTTGTATGTTTCAGAAAGAGAGGCGATATATTCCTCCACCAAAGGCAGTCGGTCGACGGCCGTGGAATCTATATCGACTCGAACCAATTTTTCGGGCCAAGGTATTCATGGTAATACATACGGGTTTCGGAGTGTTTAATTCGTGACTTTGGATGTTAATTGGGCTGGTACGTATCATTCTACGCTTCTACTTCCTCTCTCTCTGTCTTCGCCCGAGCGCTCTCATCTTCTCTCACACATATGTGAAAGACTGATTCTTCCTCGCTCCTGGCCCACAGTCTACAGTTGCAGCTCACCTGCAGACGGGTGTGGAGAGACGATATGAAGCCAATCCATCTGGCCGCCGGATGGAACTATGTCTCCTGTTAGTATCATTCCGATACCTACAATATTGCCTGGGGAAATTTTGTTCCAATCACAAATGTCCGTTCTAGCCTACGTTAGACAAAGATTGTCAAGGTCTGGACGCGAGCATGGCGAGGGGGCACTGCCTTGATGGGGTGGCTGTTTGGGGCACCATGTAGTCATTTTTTTCTGGATCAAGATGTACAGCGAATTGAAATCCCTAGATCTATTGTTATGTGGAAGAGCTTATTGCTGCACAAATGCTCAACAACTGCCGTATCACTTCCTCACCCGCGTAAGCCCGCTATCGGTGTACGTATCTTAGGCGGTTGGGAAGGGGCACACCGGAAGGCGAAGGATATGTATACCCGGTTGCCTTTAGCTACATCGTAGAAGCCTATTTGGAAAGTAGTGGTGGTCATGGCAATCTGGTATCTATCTACATGACTCGTCAAAAACTGTGTATGCTATGCTCGTTCATTAAGCAGCGCGTCCGAAGAGCTACTATGTACCACAGCCAAGCAAGCTCTCGCTATCACCACTATGCCTTCAACGCCTGTCGTTGTGTCGTAACACATCTCAATCCGCAAGCACCATCCTAAGCATAGCGAGGAACCCCTCCCTCATTCCCACCAGCTCGGTGACATCCGGCTTCACCGGCTCCCCAGCCGTTCTCCTCAGCCTATCAGCTTGCTTCGCTCTCCGTTTCCGCTCACCGGCAATTGGGTCAGCGTCATCCTGTTCGTCTTCTTCGTCTTCGTCACTGTCGTCGTCGTCCTGCATATCTGCCAAATCGGCCTCGTTGAGACCGAAGTCACTGCTGCGGAAAGTGGCCGAACCAGGCGGCGTGGGACCGCCGTTGGGAGAGGAGGTGGAGTCAACGGCCATTTTTTGTCGGGTTTTGTCTTGGTGCCATTTCTTGCGCTCTTCTTGCCATTTGATGAGAGCGTTGATTTCGGCGATGGCACTTTGTTTGTTGATGTTGCCTACGTCGACAGCACCTTGGAATAGGGCGTTCATATCTAATTTCCCTCCTTTGGGGCCGTGGCGGAGGAACTCGAGGATACCTTCAAGCCAGCCCATCAGTTGGGTAAACAAGCCGTTATCGTGGATGTGTACTTCGTGAACGAATTTGTAGAAATTATCTTGATGGCGAGCGCAGAGATCGATGAAGGATTGGACTGTTTGGTTTGGATCGGCCGAGACGTCTTGACGCTGAGCGGTGGTGAGGACGGAGAACATGTCATCGGCGAAGGAAGCGAAGTCAGTGACAGAGCTGTAGACATTGGCGGATTTGTAGACACGGACGAGGGGTTCGTAGAAGATAGTGAAGAGATCGCGGAAGAGGTGGAGGGTGACAGGTTCTTCGATCACCGAGAGCATTTGGGCTTTGTCGCGCTGCCGAGTGTACATCTTTAGGAGCTGTTTGAGGTAGGCGAACAGTTGGGCGCCTTGTTTCATCTCCTCGTCGATCTGTGGATGGTCAGTCGGTTTCTTTGGTCATCTGCACGGGCTGCTCACGTTGTCTATGGCGTTATTCCAAGCAACAAAAGCATTGAAAACCTTCCCAATCTGCTGAGGCGTCAAATCCGGAGCGAACTTCTCGGAGCGTAATATGGCCACTATTAAATCGATATCGTCAGCGACAGCTTCGCTTCGTATTTCGTTCTTCGTATCTTCATCCGCGTTACAAAAGCGTTTCAGCTTCTCACAAAGTATCGGGTCGTTGATTTTGAGGATCAGGGAGTCGATTGATTTTTGAAATGACTTGATGCCGTCGTTGAGGGCCAGGCCAAAAATTCGTTGCGCAAGAGATCGTGTACCGAAGGGCTGTGCGAGGAAAAGGTCGAGAACACCGCTCATCACTGCTGCTGGGTTGGCAAATCGTATTACTTGCTTCAATGCAGCATAGGGTATCATAGAATGTATGCGTTTGGCTTGCGCCAAGACTTCTGGAGAATTATCCTCAGCGAGGAAGATATGATAGATTGTTGCGGCAACCCTGGAAAAGAGTCAGTGTACAAATGGAAAGGGTGCTATCCCAGTTGATTACTTACTCTATTCGCAGCCATTCAGCAAATTTCTGGTATTCCACGCTCAGATCGGCAATCTTTTCTTTATCTTTGATCTCCTTGAACAACTTGGTGAGTCCATCTGCAATTTCTGTCAGTCATCTCTCTGAACAAAGGCTCGTACACAAACATACTGCGCTCGACAATGTCCCGCCTGAATCTCTCCATGTAAATATCTAAGTCCCGGGCACGCTCTCTGGCAATCTCGTAAAAGCGTTTCTGTTCTTCAATCCGTTTCTCGTCCATCGTTTTCCGTTTTTCAATATCAATCATCTCTTCTTCATTAAGTTTGACAGTATGACCCGTAAGGAACTCCTGCATTGCCTTTGACTCGGCTATCTGCGGGTTCTGGAGAAACGTCCGCAAGAAGGCTCTCAGGGAGACTCGTTGATCCTCTCGATATAAAACAACCTTCTCTCTAGTGAAATCGCTAGAAGCTCTTGGTGAACGGGACTGGGCTGATGTAGAGCGAGAATGTCCCCTCCCCATCAGGTGGAGAAAAGAGCTACTCTCATCTGGACCGGCTGCTTGGGTGTTTTGGGTAGATACCGATGAGACTGATGAAGCATCGTCATCGCCACCAGCGCCGAGGAACGTTGACGTTGTGTGGCTTTTGTTCTTTCGAGGTAATGGAGCTAGAACTTTGCCCGGAAGTTCGGTTCGCAGATGCTTATGCAACTTTGAAAATTCTCCGTATCTTCGGCCTACGTAGATATCTGGTTTGCCGGCTTGTTTGACTCGTATCAGAAACTCCTAGATTCTGTCAACACACTCCTCAAGTGCAGTGTGGTCTGTGGCTCTCATTACCGCATGCTGATGATATCGCACTGTCCGCTTCACAGACGTTGTCCTCACACCAGCTACGTTCACATCCCAGCCATTGATCGAGTTGCCTTCAGGCGCATTCACTAACAAGCCTTGTTCATTGGCGCCCCGGTCCACCACTTCAAGCTCTGAGAACCGTATACGTTCCTCATAGCCAGACGCTGTAGGTATACCGGACACCATCATCAATTCCACCAGCTTTTGTGCCTTTATTGCAAGCTTCCTCCTCTTAGTTTCTTCCAGTCTATCCTCGCTAGACGAGATGTGTTTGCCAGCAAAGCTTTCGAGAAATACTTGGAGTTTGTCTTGCCAGAACTCCTTCTCTCTGGCCTGATCAAGGAATGGGAAGTTCCGGACATGGTGAACAAAAATGTACCGGAGTAAGGGTAGATCTGAGTCGACTGGGGCGACCTCTCCGAATTCTGATCTGAAAGGCGCTCCGAAGCGCTGGAGAGCGGTCGTGGAAGCTAGCTCTGATATCTCATACACCACCTGTCCCGATATCAATTCTCTCTTGAGATAATGCTCTTGTTTTCCTGTAAGAGTCTGCCCCGGCGGCGGTTCTGAATCCTTAGATTTCAAATTTGCTTCATTCTTGGGTCTGGAAGGTAGGGGTAGATTATTCTGGCGCTGACTGACATGATTGGGACCGACGTTCAGATCCTGTATGGTCCCATCGAGGCTTTTCATCCTGGCAGATGCCATTCTAACAATGCTGACGATTATTTCCGCGCCCGGTGGGTCGAAAGGATAGTGGTATATGAAAGCCTGAACAGAACTCTAGAACTTAGAGAGTCTGTATGGGAAAAGAAAAGTGTCACAGTGCTCAGCGATGATTTACTTTGATCCATCAACGTACTCTACGTTAACGGGAATTCGTCATGATTCCCTGGGAGCCGGGGGCTGGCTTGGCTGATGTTTTAAAAGCGCCCAAGGGTCCGGGGTCCGGGTCATCATAACGTAGGGCTAAGCTCCCGCCGCTACCGGCAGCTCTAGGGGCATTTCTCGCGTCAGAGGGTCTCGCCCCGAAGCTTTATTTACAAATAATATGTCGTTGTCTTATGGCTTCCAAGTCTGATAGGAATCTATTGTCAAGGCCGAGTGACTATGTCACAATACCATGTCCTTGAAGCCTAGCACGGCCAACCTCAAAAGCTCAATGTTACTGCCCAAAAGACACCATGGCAGGAGGAAATATCAAGGTGGTCGTTCGGGGTAAGCAGGCCTCCAAATGGATTGAGGATGTGCTGACCAAACACAGTACGGCCCTTCAACGGCAGGGAAGTGGACCGGCGTTCAAAATGTGTTGTCAGAATGGATGGCAACCAAACAATACTTGTGCCTCCACCAGAAGCCGAAGAACGCATGCGAAAGGGAGGCAAGGGAAGTGACGGGCAGAAAACATTTGCATTCGATCGAAGCTACTGGAGTTTCGATCGCAACGACAAGAGTTTCGCTGGACAGGACAGCCTCTACAATGACCTTGGAATCCCTCTCCTTGACAATGCTGTGAGTTTCCTGTTACGAGTGACTGTCTCACCAAGTTCAGACTATACTGTGTGCTTCTGAGCTGACCGTTTAAATTCCAAGTTTCAAGGATACAACAACTGCATCTTCGCCTATGGCCAGACGGGATCTGGGAAGTCTTACAGCATGATGGGATATGGAGAAGAAGCTGGAGTCATACCCAAAATCTGTCGGAACATGTTTGAAAGAATTGCGGAAATACAGAAAGACAAGAATCTCACATG